CCACCGGGTTCTGCAGCCCCAGTGGGACCCAGTTCTCTCACGTCCCACAGCCTGGCTACACTGGGTGCGTGTGGCAGGGACCAACCTAACTTTCCCGATGCCCGCTGCTCTCATTCCGCCTTCAGTCACTCAGAGAACGCCTGCCCACTGGGGGCACTGAACTTCCCACGTGGGCTCCAGCTGAGAGCTTCATGACGTGGGCGAGGCCTCCTGTCAGTTGTACACAGTGATGACACCCTCCTCTCCAGGATGGGCTGAGGCTTAAAGGGACCCACCTGCAAACACCCCCAGGGCCTGGCACAGAGCGGGCGCTCCGTAAAGTCAGTGCTCATGAATATTATCGTCACTATTGCCATTCCTTTAAAAATACGGTTCTCTTGTCAATACCTTTGATCTGTCTCTGTCAGGAGGTGCACCTGACGGCAGCTGCTCATTGTTCTGCTCGGTCCCCACGGCTCTGGGTGAAGTAAAGCCTGTGCCCCATCAGCGGGCACAACCTGCTCCTCCGCTCTATGGCAGATGCCCAGCGCTGCTCTCCCTGCCCTTCATGGTGGCTCTCGGGTCACCCATGCCCATTTCTCGAGGGTGTCTGGGACTCGCTGCACTCAGCAAGCCTTGTCTCCCCGTTCCTGACCGGTGACAGGGAGAGGGACACCTCACCACCTACCATGTGCTTCTCCTGCCTCAGTGCCGTGTCCAGATGCAGAAGATCCTTTAAGTGAAGGTTATAGATACACAAGTCAAGGTCCACACTGAAAAGTCAAAAGAGAAACAGACAAGACTGTTAGCATATTTGACGTGGGGAGTGAGGTTACCACGCAGTTCTAGCACATCCCTGCTCCAGACAAGCCACAGCGCACCCTGACTCCAGATTTTAAACTGTGCAGTCTGTGGAGATTCCTAACAGCCACCCGCGAAATCAGAGGAGTTATCTGAAACCCACTGGAATAGCTGCCTGAGACATCAGGACAAAACAGGAAGAGACAGAAGGTGAGAGAAATGAAAAATCACACCTCCCTGACCCCAGCCCCCCCAGGGGTTTTTCATATTTATGTCACATGTCAATGTCATCTTTTTTAAGTGCCACATGGAGATATTCTCATGCCCATTTCACAGAGGAGGAAATCAGGGTCAGAGTCATTGATAGCCAACACACAGCCCTGGGGTGCAGAGAAGTGTCAGAGCATAAAGGTCTTTGACCTTTTGTCCTACAAAGGCAAGTGTTCTTTAGATGACTACACTCCCATCCAAACTGTTACAAGTCGGCTAGGTCCAAAAGCTCAGAAGCAGCCTTTTTCAGCCACATGGGCTGCCCCAAGGAGGCTCCCTCTTCCCTGGGCCACCTCAGGGTCACCACCAAGGTCAGGGTTCGGGGCCCACTCTGTCCACAGCCTGAGCAGAGACCGGGCCTGTTCTGTCTCTCCCAGGGTCCATAGGAGTCCCCAGACTTTAGGGGAGGGAGAGGCCCGCACTGGTGCACAGGCCAGCTGACTGAGCTTCTTGAACCCCTGCCATGTGCCCAGGGCTGCTCGGGGCTGGGTGGTTTGGTGACTCCAACCATGGGCTTTGAAAATAGGCACTGGGGTCAAACCTGAATCCATCTCTCACCTGCTGTTGCCTCAAGCAAGTCACTCAGCCTCTGTCTCACTTTCTTTGTAAAATGAGGGCAATAAGAGCACTTATTTCAAAGGATGGGTAAGCGGAATTGATTCATGGATTGGTTAATATTTACTCATCACTGAACCTGTCCCAGGCTTCCAGTGGGCAACAGCGACACAAGAGCGAACACCACAGACCTGGTCCTCCTGCTTGTGAAGGCACCACCCACGGGGAGCTCAGCTCTCTACCCAGTACACAGCAGGCACCTCACCAGGATAGCTGCTGCTCGGCAATGCGTGAGACTGTTAGTGATTAAACGAGGCCCCCCGATGTACCTCCCAGGGCCCAGGCCTGACCCCACCACCCCATGCTGGCCAACCCCACAAGGTGAGCTCCAGCTCTGACACTGGGTTGCTGTGCGTCGATGGCTAAGCTGCTTAACTTCTCTGGGCCTCTATTTCTGCTGACAGTGACCTGGCCCGTGGATCTGCATCCTCCATCCTGGCCCCTGCTTACCCCTCACGGATCAGCACCTCGGGGAAGCTGCTGGCCCCGAGGAAGGAGCGGCCGAGGAACCTGTCGTCGCTGGTGGCCGAGCGGACGCTGGACGCCGAGCTGCCGTCCTCCTTCTCGGCCTGACTCAGGCTCCCCAGGCTGCTGGAGGGGGACGCCTCCCCTGGCTGGTTCGGCAAGGCAGCCTGCTTTACGTTTTCGTGCAGAGATGGGTTGGAGGAGCCGTCAGCCAGAGGCTGGGGGGCAGAAGGGAAGCACACTTTCAGTCCAGACACTCTCACACCACGTTTCATGACTCTGCCCGGGATGCATGATGCGTGCAATGTGGTGCAGCTGCAGGAATGCCAGGCCGGGCAGGTGGGCAGGAGCGTGGCCAGACATGGTAGAGCTTCTGCCCCAGGGTCACGGCCACACCCACACTCCAGGGGCCTGTATCACAGCCCTTGTCCCTCAAGACCAGACCCTCTGCACCGAGCTCCTCCCCCTCAGCTATTAGCCTGGGTTTGCTCCCCAACGGCCTGCCCGCACCCCACGCGCAGCTGCCCGCTCTGACCTCCTCCACAGAAGGTGGCTGGCCACCCACATCTCTCTGCTCTCTCAACCCTGGCTCTCCTCTGCCCACTGGCTCCCAACCACCTGCTCTTCTTTACCTACTCTGATGTGGGTGTAACCCTCGGGCCCCAGGCCTTTTGAGGTGGCTCCCCTCTGGACCTGACCCTGGATAATCCCCAGTCCCTACCACAGAGCAGGCCCAGCAACAGGTGCTGATGATAAATAAATGCCCTGGGCTGGGAGTTCTGCCCCTTAAACCACCCACCTCACAGCCAAGAGAAGAAGTGGTTCTCAGTGTGTGTTCTGGGGAACAGTTTCATGAACTGCAACCAGTTACTGCTCACCAAAAGGGTACTGCAGAAAAATTAATTTGGGTAAGTCCATGGAATCATTTCTTTGGTGCAGGAATTCTCAGAGCCTTTGATATGATCTGGCTGTCTTCAAAAGCATATGATAATTTAGAAACCCGAGCATGTACTGACGTCTAGATGTCACGCAGTATTCCAAGCCCTTATGTCTATTCCATTTGACTCTTAAAACAATTGGATGAGACAGGAGGTCCATTACCCCCATTTCATGGATGAGAAAATGGTCCCAAGAAGTCAGGAAATAGCCAAGAGCAAATGGCTGAGTTGGAAGTTACAGCTGAATCTATGTGGCTCCAGACCCTGGAGGGCAAGCAGCATTTTCCTCAACTTTCCTGCTCAGGAAACATTTTGTTTCAGAGCATCTCATAGGCCAATGCTCTTGAAGGACCATGGAGAACATACTTTCAGCAAAACTCCTCCCCCCAGGTACGTACACCTGCCTTTGGGTGTAAGACCCATAGCCAGGCGGGGAGGGTTGACTCTGGTCCTACCACGTGCTGCACTTGCCTCCCTGGGCCTCAGTTTCCTTATGCATGAAGTGGAGGTGACAATATTATTGACCACAGAGGAATGTATGAGGTTGAAATGCCTAGTGCATGGCACAGGCTTAGCATGGTGCCAGTCCCACATAACTGTTCAGTGTCAGCCGCTGCTTTACGTTTTCGTGCAGAGATGGGTTGGAGGAGCCGTCAGCCAAAGCCATCTGTCCTGGGGTGTGTGAATGAGGATTAATGTTAGTAACTGTGTCAGTATCTGAATTTGTATTAATGTTAAAAGAGCAGGGTGGCTGCTGCCCTACTGAGCTGTCTCCTGGTGCCCCTGGGGATACCTTGCTAGACATGGGCATGCCCTATCTCTGACAATGCTGTCATAAAATGGATAACCCTAAAGTTTTGCTCCATTACAAAGCCTCAAAATTATCCCTGTTAAAATGACTTTCCATAAACACCTCAAATTGGACCCAAAATCACACATTTAACCCCCCTATTCCTACCCCAGTCTCCAGGACATTACTGAATAATCGTGTTTCTAGGATGGAGCTCATGACTCTCACCCGGAACTTCTGATTGATGGGATACACGACTTTTGCCTTCAGTGCAAATGCTGTGATATTGCTGTTGAAAGACGGCTCACGTTCCTGGGAAGGAAGGAAAACAAATGGCATGGGGCTCTCTGTAACATGAAGGATACACCACCAAGAGTTTCCAAAATGCCACATCCCATTTGTAACAGAGGACTCAGGAAGGGAGCAAAATGGGCACATTTCAATCCAAGTAAGTGCTCATTTGTTAAAAGGATGGTTGGATGGATGGACAGGTAGATGGAAGGGTGGGTGGACAGATGGATGGATGGACAGATGGATGATGGAGAGAGGGACAGATGGGAGGATAGATGGATGGATGGATGATGGACAGATGGATGGATGGCAGATAGATGGATGGCGGATGCATGGCTGGGTGGATGGCTGGGTGGATGGATGGAGAGATAGATGGATAGACAGATGGATGCATGGACAGATGGATGGGTGGTGGGTGGGTGGATGGGTGGATGGATGGATGGGTGGGTGGAAGGGTGGATGGACAGATGGATGGGTGGAAGGATCTGTGAATGGGTGGGTGGGTGGGTGGATAGCTGTTAAATAGCGTATTCTTCATTTAATCCCAAGTCTTCAGCTTTGGAAGAAATAAATATTTAGATAACATGACAATAATTAACAAAAGTTTTCCTAAAAATTGTGAACCACCTTTACTGGAAAAAGGAAAAAGAATAATTTTAGCATTGCCAGGGCTGTAAATACTTGCACGTACCAATATTCACCAAGGCTTTGGATTAGACCCCTAAATGAAAAGATGAAGTCAGGCAAGTCTTCACTCTTCTGAGCCTCAGACTTTGTTGACAGTAAACAGGCAGTGTGTCCACCCCCAGGACTGTGTGGATAAGGCCCCCAGCAGAGTGGCTGGGACAGAAGAGAAGCGGGGCAAAGGGCAGTTCTCAGTGGCCATAGTGGGGAGCTGCTTTCAAGCCCTGTTCAGGAACTGTCTCTCCTGGGGAGCCTTCCCTGACCGTAGCTGGATGCACTTATTCACAGCCTGCTTTACATTCCTACATCCTGTCTGTGCCTTCCTTCTGTGAGGGTCACCCTGTGCACCTTGCAAAGTTGCTGCTAAATACATGCTTTGGAAACAATCAGCAAGTGGAAAAAGGCGAGCAGGCAGACAAGTCAGGAGCTGGCACTCCAGACCGTGAGAAATCCCTGCTCAACAGTTACGAACAGGCGGATGGGTGAAAACCACGTCCATGATTCTCAATTGCTGAGTTGAGCTATCATGGGGAATGCAGAAGGACTTATCACTTCCTCAAGAGGTGGAATGTTGAAGCAGCACCTGACCCAGCCAGCAACGTGGCCCAAAGGTGTGTCCAGAGAGGGTTTCACCGTGGAGTCTGTCGAGCAGGGCAGGGACAGAAGTGCCGTGGGGAGGGCCCTGGTCCTCGTCATCTGTATCTATACCTTATGACTCAAAATGGACTGAGATGATGGGGATGGGGATGACCACCACCATGTGGCACCTCCTTAAGCTTCCAAGGGCCCTGCCATGGAAGCTACTGCCTCCGTTTCCACATGGGGAAGATGAGACACAGAGATGTTAAGCTGTGTGCCCAAGTCACACAGCTAATAAAGCCACAACTAGCACTTGAACGCAGATTTCCTGACTCAGAGTCCTCCTCTTGGGTGGAAACCATTCTGTCTCCTTCAACATGATACAAGTAAGAGCCACGGAATTTAAAGGGGCGTGGAGTTCGGTAGAAAGGGCCCTGGACAAGGCTTCACCATGGCCCAGGCACATGAGATGGACCCTCAGCTGCTCTTTCACACTCCCACCTGCCACTCCAATCAACCACAGATCCCCCAGCTTAACCTTCAAATAGCTCTCAAATCCAGAGCCCTGGCCAAAGCCACCGCCATAGTTACCCTAAGGGCTATAAAAGCCTCCTAACCTGCTCCAAATCCATGTTCTGAGGGCCTACTATGTGCTAGGCACCTTATGCACATTTTCTCATTTAATTATGACACAACAGTCAGCTTGGGAAGGTCAGTACTATTATGACCATCCCAACTTTATGCAGAGGTCAAGCAAGACTAAGAGGTCAACATCTTCCAATCCACTCTGCACATGGCGATCCCATGATCTTTTAAACTTGCACTTCCCATCATTGCTCAGCTTAAAACCCCTCCTGCCTCCCTTTGACCCCAAGGCAGAGCATGGCCAGCCCCCAGGGCCTAGCCTCCAACCCTCAGCCCCCAGCCCCCAGTCCAACTCTCTGCTTGAAGCTATCTTGGTACAATAGTGAAGAATGGCAGTAAGATTTAAAGGGCTGATTTCACAACAGGTCACATCATTTGTGGGGCCCAGTGCAAAATGAAAATGGGGAGGTCCTCATTGAAAACAATTACACATTGCAGGACAACAAACTCCAGAAACTAGGGGCGGAGCCTGGCTGAGCATGGGTCCTGTGTGACGGCACAGGTTGCACGCTGGGGAGACCAGCCCTGGCTGATTCTGAAGCAGAGACACACTTGCTCAGGGCAAGATGCAAAAACACGAAGGACACTGTGCTTTTTTAAGTGCTCTGCTTCTTACAAACGGAAGTGAAAAGAAAGGACAGAGTTTAAGGGGTGAAAAATGAGAGGAGGCATTTCTGCCTTCTGGAGTTCATCTTCCAAAGAGAAAACACAAAACAAAAACTGCATTTAATACAAAAAACAGAAGAAGAAAGGGACGTAGATACCAGGACCCACCTGAGCGATTTGGAAGCAGGAGCTGAGCACGGGAGCCTGGATTGTGCATTAAAACACAATGCTAGCTGACGGCATTACCCAGCTGTCTGGGAACCCGGCAATGCCATGGCTTTCCAACCCACCTGCCTGCAGACTGCAGTCCCCTCCAGGGCAGGGCACGTCGCAGTCCTGGTGTTTGTCGGGGGATGAAGAAACACTTGGCAAATGGAATCAAGTAGGCAGCAGGCTTCTGCTACCTCAACAGGACGTGCTGTGTTTAATTTTGAAAGCTTTTCTTAGTAAGGTCAGATGTCCTCTGAATTCCGATCATCTCCCCAACCGTAGCAATACAATTATTCAGAAAATTGGTTGTAGCCCACATTTACAATGCAAAACTTCTTCAGCTGAAGCAATGCAATTATTCAGAAAATTAGTGAAAGCATAATTGTAGGAAAAGAAAAGCCATTTCCCTCACCGACACAAAGGTGTTCTACCAGTGGGTGCACAAATGCGTCCATTAAAATGCTATCCCCTCTCCGTCCTCCAAAGCAAAGCAAAAGGAAAGGATGGAGAGAGGCCAGGGCTGGGCAGTGGCATGCTTCAGTCTTCTGGAATTTTGTTTGTGTTTGGCCGACATGAGCTATTTGGTCGAAACTGAACTCTTGCAAGGAGTGGCATGAACCACAAACGCTTTGGTTTCTATGCATTCAAAGACATCGGGGTGAGGGCTCAACTCCCCCTGACAAAATCAGTCTTGTCCACAGTCCTGGACAAGCTCAGTCTGCAGAAGGCAGGGAGGGGCTTTTTGACAAGCCAGTCCCTGGGACAGGCAGATCTTTAACTTCTCTCATGGCAATCATTAGCTTGAAAAAGGGCATCAACTAGGCATGGGTAAATAGTTAAAAGGTAAAACATTACTAGATAGAAAGAATGAGTGGGCCATTTGGGGAGGTAGAAAGACTTAGCTCCCCTGCAAACAGTGATCGGGCACTTCTTCCGTGACTGGAATGTTCGGAGTTGACTCATGGGTGACCCTGGGGGGCCATCATCATTCCTGTTATTGCAAAGCTGGGGAAACTAAGGCTCAGACAGGTTGTGTTTCTTGCTCAACATTACACAGCAAAAGGTGGCAGAGCTGGGACAGGGGTCTAAGATTCTGGATCCCAAAGCCAGTTATTTTTATCACCACCAAGATTGTCCACTGTGGGAGCAGATTTTTTGTCTTTCTAAATAGTTGTATTCAGATATAACTCACACACCATGCAACTAAACCATGCAAAGTGTACAATTTAATAATTATCAGTGTATTCTCAGATATGTGCAGCCATTACCACAGTGAATTTTAGAACATTTTTACCATCTCAAAAAGAAACCCAGTGCCCTTTATCCCTCCCATTCCCTGTCCCCACCCTAAGTAAGCACCAATCAATCTACTTTTTGTCTATAAATGTACCTGTTTTAGACATGTCATTTGAGGTGAATCCTACAATATGTGGCCTTTTGGGCTTCTTTCCAGTTAGCTGTGATGTCAGGACTCCGTTTCTTTTTAATGCTGACCGGTACTCCACTGCACGGCCGGACCACGCTTTGTTTAGTCATCCACCCCTGACGCACATTTGCATCCCCTCATTTTGCCTCGCGTATGTAGGGCTTTTATGAGTATCTGTGTACACATTTTTGCAGAGATATACATTCTCATTTCTGTGAGCACGGTCTCCATAATACGCAGTGAGTGAGATACAAGGATAGAGAGAAATGAAGGAAAGAGAGAATCAGGACAGAGAGACACCACACACACACACACACACACACAGGCCCTCAGAGATGCACGTGGAGAGAAGCACAGAAAAAGAGAGATGGACATACAGAGGATGCACCCCTACACATGCACACACAGAGAGCACCTGTAACAGGGGGACAGGGAGCAGGTGCTGGACGCACAGCACATACGAGCAAGTGCCGACCTATCCTGGGCAGCCACTGCCCCTGGGACGGCCGCAGCTCTCTCCCCCCAGCTCCTGGGTCGGCCCTGGGGAGGGCAGCCAACCTTCCCACAGGGTCCCACCCAGCATGGGGAAGAGAAGCTCTGTCTCCAGAATCCTTGGGAGACTTAGAAACTGATTTTTCATCTTAACTAGAACCTTCCTCCTACTGATTTCAAAATTCTTGGTAAAATTTGTTATACACTTGAAACACCCTCCCCTGCTGAACCTGGCCATGAGGGTCCAGGGCAGCGGGGTGGGCGGGAGGCGGCCCTCCCCAAGTGGAGGCCAAACAAACCCAAACCTCAGCTGTGTGGCTCAGGACAGTGACCTGTGTCCCTAAGCCTCAGCTTCCTCATTTGGAAAACGGGGACATAACTAGGATGTACGTCATGAGCTGCTGAGAGAACTGCACGGCATGATTCACATGCGTGTTCACAGCACTCAAACTGATATATGTGAACATGTCCGGCACTCAGTGGCCACAAAAAAATGCTTACTTCAATTTTCCCCGTTCCCCAGGATGTCTCTCTATTTACCTACCTACCTGTCTAAATGCCTATATTCACTTTTGGGCAATTGAGGCTGAATGACTGGAGTCTGCTGTACTTTCTGGGGACCAGGAAGTGTCTAGAAATATCAGATCTTTGGAAGAAACACCCCCTCCATCCATGGAGCTCAGACAGGAAGCAACACCCCATGAGCAGGCTCGGGCTGGACAGAGTGGGGGCCAGGAAGGAAGGTACAGGAAGGACCCATCTGTTAGCACTGCCGTCAGAGGCCCAGAATTCCCACTCCTGGATATTTACTTACTACTCACTTAAAAGAAAAAGAATGAAATGAAAACAAATAAACAAGCAAACTTACACATGAACATTCACAGAAGCCTTATTCAGAAGAGCCACACACCAGAAACAGCCCACATGGTGGCGTATCCCCAAAATGGACCCAGCAATTAAAAGGATGGATTATCGGTAAGGGCAATGACATGGGTAAATCCCAAGTCATACGCTGAGGGGATGAACACAGACACAAGAAAGCATGTGATTCCACTTACGTAAGATTCTAGAACAGTAAAATCAACCACGCTGATGCGAATCAGAGCAGAGAGGGGCGCTGGAGGACTTGTGGGGTGATGCGATGCTCCCGATCGAGGTATCGATTACAAGGGCACATACGCTTGTCACTCATCGCACTGTAAACTTAAAATCTGTACATTTTGCTGTATGTAAATTATACTGCATAAAAGAAGCTATTGGTAAATGACATCTGTCTGAAGCTTGGCTAGGTGACCTCTGTGCTGCCAGGTGGGGCCTGCAACACCCAGAGTGTGTCCCGGCCAATCAACCCAAACACCCAGCTTACGTACGTCCAGGGCCTCCTCGTCCTTCCATGTCTGCGCTTCTCTCTTCCGCCTCCTGGGTGGGGAACCGGTTTCTGAGGGGGTCTGTACGTTACACTCCAAATTCTTGAGCAGACTTTGAGCATCATCTTTCTAAAATCCAAAGGTGGTAGGGGTTGGTGGAGAGGCAGAAAACACACTGAAGTGGGTCAGCCCGGTGCCTGCTGACTTTGGCCATCAACCCCCACCCCGGCAGTCCTGTCTGTTCATCTCTGCTTCTGCCTGGCCCTCCCCCGCGCACCTGGGGTCAGCTACACATCCTTCATGACTGTCCAGATGCCGCCTTCCTGAAAAGACCCCCCGAAACCCCGTCTCAGTGTGTCCTCAGGACGTAGAGGCAACATTTGAACCAAAGCTCCTTCCATCGGTCTGGCTTGGTGAACCTGTGAGCTCCTTGGGGATAACAGCTTAACATGGGACATGGCACATAAACAGTACATTTCCTATGATTTCCAATGATGGCATTAGATGATTTTTTAAAGGAAATATTGCAGGGACACTTAAATTATAGGATGTGAACTACAACTGATCCTCGTCGTTTGTGGATTCTGTATTTGCAAAGTTGCCTACTTGCTGAAATGTATTTGCAACACCAAGACCAACACTTTTGGTGCCTCTGTGGTCATTCCTGGACCATGTGCAGTAACAGTGAGAAATTTGAGTCGCCCAACTGAGATTGAACAAGGTGACGCTCTGCCCTCTGGTTCCAGGGCTCAAACTGTAAACACATCCTTTTCGTGTTTTATTTAGTGCCATTCTTTTTTCATATCTTTGCCCTTTTTGTTGGTGAGCTTGTTGTTTAAAATGACCCCTAGGTGCAGTACTGAAGTCCTGTCCTGTGTTCCTAAGCACGAGAAAGCTGGGATGTGCCTGATGGAGAAAACGCATGTGTGAGATGCACTTCATTCTGGCATGAGTTACAGTGCTGGTGGCTGGGAGTTCACTGGTAATGAATCAATGATGTATGTGAAATAAGGTGTCTTTAAACAGAGACCCACATAAAGCAAGGTTAGGTGTTGATCAGCGAATGCAAATGTTGGGACCAGAGTCTTGCCTAACCCCATATTTCCCCACGAGCAATGGTTCAGTATTTGCTGATTCTGTGTTCACAGTAATTTTCTAGAATATAATTATCAACTGCATTTAAAACGATCGATTGAATGCCAGAGACACTTACTGAGCCTCTCTTTGCCTGCTGGCTGCTCATGGATATAAACTTTGAACTGAAGAACTAAAGAAATATTACAAGTTTGTCACTGAGTTAGCAACCATTACAGAGCATCGACTAAGAGTCACACCTTATTCTAGTCACTGGGCATACAGTACTGAAAAAACAATGTTCCCCCCTTTGTGGAGTTTACATTCTAGTGACAGAAGGAAGCCACAGACAAACAAATAAATAAAGACATGGTACATCAGACGCAACAGTGCTATAGAGAAAAATGGCAGAGTAAAGGGAATGCAAAGCAATGGGAGGGGAAGGCCTCTTAGACAAGGTGGCGTTTGAGAAGAAACTTAAGGAAGTGAGAGGGTAAGCTTGTCAGATATTTCAAGGACAAGCATTCCAGGGAGGAGGCACAGCATGTGCAAAGGCCCTGAGGCAGGAGCATGCTCAGAATATCCTGAGAAGCTCACATGGCTGGAGCAGTCAGGGGTGATTATGAAGCCAGCCCTTTGGGTGCTGTTTGTTTAGCATCGTAGCTGACCAGTACAAGGGCTCTGTGGGGAAGGACCGAGTCAGTTCATGCTATAGTAGAGACTCCAGGAGAAAAACCTCATCTACCCCATGAGGGACCATCAGTTTTTTTGCTCCCCAGTTAAAAATGACCAGGAGGCCAAGGATCAATAGTCACTGGAGGACAGACAAACCCTAAAACAAACAAAAGGATAAAGCAAGCAGGAGATAGATGCTGCATGGGGAAAAGAGAACTTAAAACAAATAATTATAATATCCCCTGAGAAGTACGAGAAGATACGACATTCACAAAATAAGTACAGGATAGTATAAGCACAGAATATTCTGAGGACAAAAAAGAACTGTTGAAAATTAAAAATATTGAAAACTCAATACAAGCATAAAGGTGAGAAAGGTCTTGCAGAAAGCAGCATAAATTAGACAAAGAGATGAAAATAAGAGAGAAGGCAGATAATTAGAGACCCAATTCAACCAAAAAAGGGCAGGAGTTCCTGAAAGAAACAACAAAACACATAAAAAGAAAAGAATCATCAGAGAAACCAGGAAAATGAGTTGCTAGGTTGAAAGGGCTTCTGAACACACAGCATAAATGGACGGCAATCAGCCAGCCGCTGAGACCCACCCGGCACATTTCACAAACTGGGGGCCCAGAAAAGAGGAGCCAGAGAAAAAAAGTTTCCATGCAAAATGTCAAGGATCAGAATAGAATCCAATTTCTCAGCTTCAACAATGGAAGTTCGAAGATAATCAGAAAAAATGCCTTAAAATTCTGGAAAATTATTTCCATCTTGGAATTCTATAACCTTACTACTCTAACCCAAGTAAGAAAAAGATAGAAGAATGTAGATATTTTCAGACATAGACATTCTCAAAAGAACTTCCATCCACGCATTTCTCAGAAAACTACAGGAGGATGTGCTCCACCCAAATGAGGGAATTAGCCAAGAGGGAGAGTGCCAGGGATCCCTGAAAGGGCATCCAGCCCAGGAGAGAGGTGAAGGACTTCCAGCACAATGGCCCGGAGAGGTCCCAAAGGCGGCAGCAAAAGCCTAGAGCAGCTGCTGCTTGGACTTTCAGAACAAAGGGATCAGTGGGAGGGCTTGCAAAACACAGCCGGTTGGGCCCCCTCCAGACGTTCTCATCAGTGAGTCCCGTGTGGGGCCCAAGAACTGGCGTTACTATCGAGCTCCCAGATGCCTCTGCTGCAGCTGGTTTGGTCCACACTGAGAGCAGCCGTGGTCTAAGGAGCAACCAGCTCAGACTGGAGCGGCAGAGACTGGTTTTCTGGGAGAGACGATTTTTGAGAAGATAAAATTGATTAAATACTTAATGTATTTAAATGTCCAGAAGGGAAATGTACATAAATGGGGGAGACCTTAGTGTTAAGTGATTGATAAACACATAGAATCAAAGCAAGTGGAAAAAATCTGGGTGACTCTCCATTTTAGGGAAAACAACATATTGTGCCAAACAGGAAAGTAGTCATGATCACAGCAGATCCTTGAGTTACAGTGAAAAATGTTTATAGAATCATAACAGAAAGAATGAATGATGATTTAACCAAAATTACCATCTAATCACTCAGAGGGGATGGGGATGGTGGTTGGGTGGTCGTGCATATGAGGAAGGAGAGGAGAGGGCTGAATGACTCCCCCCTGCAGCGTGGGAGGTCAGTGGCTATTGCCTAGAGCCCCAAATGCAAGAAGCAGCCATGTAGGCAAGTTATTTAGAAATGGAAGTACATCACCAAAACAGCCAAAACAGAGTTGGACAAGGTAGATTCTGAGAACTGGGAAATGGGTGGGGTGTTGCTGCTTGTAAATGAACACTTTAAATCATGTGCATGCATAACTTGATGCAAATAAAACATAATGATGAAATAAATAAAACTCAAACAAAAACAAGAAAGGAAAGTGGTGCAAGATAAAATTATCAGCAGCCTGACTTGGACCCGAGGAGCACAGAGTGCCCAGGAAACACGAGGGAGCAAGTGCGTGGTCTCGCCTGGTCTCCTGTGAGTCCTGAAGGATGAGCGGAACCAGAGGCAGAGAAAGGCTGCCACAGGCAGAGAGAAAAGATGTGCAGAAGCACAGAGGCATCCGGGGATCAGGAGTTCTGGGAGGTTAGAAAGCGGGATGTGCCATATGCATGGGCCCCCGTGTGTTGTTGGGATGCGTTGGAGCAGGTCCAGTGTCCCAAGCTAGGAAATTGGACATCATCTTTCCTAGGCAATCAGGAGTCACTGGAGGTTTTTAGCCACGAGAGTCATACTGTCAGATGTGCATTTTAGAAACAGACTAGAGGGAGGGGACAGAAGAAAGGAGTTAGAAAGGAGGTTGCTGCAAGGGTCACATTCAAGCCAGGAGAAAATCCCCTCAGCCCTACCCTGGAGCTGTGCAAACACAGACTGCTTGGTTAACCCCTGTGAGCCTCAGCCTACTCAGCGGTGAAATGGGTCTGAAAGTTTGTGTTCCCCCATTCATATGTTGAAATCCCAGCTCCCCACATGGTGGTATTTGGAGTTGGGGCCTTTGGGAGGTGAGGAGTGCTCTCAGAAAAGAGATTCCAAAAATAAAACATAATGATGAAATAAATAAAACTCAAACAAAAACAAGAAAGGAAAGTGGTGCAAGATAAAATTATCAGCAGCCTGACTTGGACCCGAGGAGCACAGAGTGCCCAGGAAACACGAGGGAGCAAGTGCGTGGTCTCGCCTGGTCTCCTGTGAGTCCTGAAGGATGAGCGGGACCAGAGGCAGAGAAAGGCTGCCACAGGCAGAGAGAAAAGATGTGCAGAAGCACAGAGGCATCCGGGGATCAGGAGTTCTGGGAGGTTAGAAAGCGGGATGTGCCATATGCATGGGCCCCCGTGTGTTGTTGGGATGCGTTGGAGCAGGTCCAGTGTCCCAAGCTAGGAAATTGGACATCATCTTTCCTAGGCAATCAGGAGTCACTGGAGGTTTTTAGCCACGAGAGTCATACTGTCAGATGTGCATTTTAGAAACAGACTAGAGGGAGGGGACAGAAGAAAGGAGTTAGAAAGGAGGTTGCTGCAAGGGTCACATTCAAGCCAGGAGAAAATCCCCTCAGCCCTACCCTGGAGCTGTGCAAACACAAACTGCTTGGTTAACCCCTGTGAGCCTCAGCCTACTCAGCGGTGAAATGGGTCTGAAAGTTTGTGTTCCCCCATTCATATGTTGAAATCCCAGCTCCCCACATGGTGGTATTTGGAGTTGGGGCCTTTGGGAGGTGAGGAGTGCTCTCAGAAAAGAGATTCCAGAGAGCTCCCTCTCCTCTTCCGGTCTCCAAGGACACAGCAAGAAGTCAGCACTGTGCAACTTAGAAGGGGGGCCTTCGCCAGAGCGTGCACCCACACTCAGGGTCACCAAGGCTTCAGACACTGAGAAGCAATTCCAGCAGTTCTGCGGCAGGACACCTGCCCACTCCCTCAAACAAAATAAAGTTATTTTCCAAGTTAAAAAAAAAAGGATTTCCACCCTCCCAAACTTTGAGAAATAATTTCTGTTGTTTATAAGCCACCCAGTCTACGTACTTTTGTAAAAGCAGCCTGAACAGACAAAGACAGGTACTAACTGCCACCTCACCAGGTAGCAGACGGGTAGGGGCTCGGACAGACCAGGGCTGAAATCCAGCCCTATTGTTCATCCATCGTGCTGATTCATCGCCCTGTACAAAGAACAATCTTGCAAAGGAAAGTGAGGACAAGGACAGTCACTCCACTCCCAGGCTTGGAGTGAGGACACAGAACCAAATAACACACTCAGCAGGGGCCTGGACCAGTGCACGCTACTGCCCTGTTCACACAGGAAGCCAGCGTCTCTCAGTCCCTCCCAGTCACCAGCAGTATGTGACGACCTGACACTTACCCGCAAGCATCGTGCACTATTTTAGTTTCCGCCTTACTCAGCGCTCTGCAGCACGGCACTCCCAGAAGTCACCTGCAGTGTGAAGGAGCCCTGCCTGCTTCTGCTGGACTTACCTTCTCTGTGTGTGGGCAGGAGTGGGGCGCCGGGGGTAGGGGAGAACAGGACCCTGCCACCTAATCTCAGATTCTCCCAGACCTCATCCTTTAAAGAGGTCAAGGCTGCAAGGACCGAAGATACTGATCACACCACCACAGAGCAAATGCCGGCTGTATGCCAGACATTGCCACACCACATAACAACTGTCATATGAAGCATCCATTCAGTCCTTCTGACAGCCACCCGTGACCACTGCCCCTGCCCTAGAATATAGTGACTTTGGGCTTAGACACATGACTGTCATTTTGGCAATTTAGCCTGTCTGTGCCTCAGTTTTCTCATCTGCAAAATGAGGACATTCATAGAACAAACTCACAAAGCTGTTTTGGGGATCCAGTGAGATAATACAGGTAGCGGGTCCAGCTCACGCTCTGCACTCGTCAGCAATCAGAAGCGCTAGCATTATCATCTCCCCATCACAGAACTCATCAGGCTGTGTTATAAACAATGTTTACGTGTAATCTGCTTGTCTTCTGAATGTTGTGAGCAGCATTCAGGAAGGGCAGGGTCTATCCTGCACACTGACGTGGCGTCTAAAACCCCAGACCAGTGGCTGGCGGTATAAGATGTTTATCAAACATGCTGCTGGGGTGAATGAATGAACGAATGAATGAATGAATGAGTGCCAGTGGGGCAGTTGGGACTCATGAGAGGCTAGCTAGATAATCCACATCCACAGGGATGGCCAGCCACAGCCCTCCTATCCACCACGCGGAGCAGGGACCCTCTGCCAGCTTCGGGTCCAAAGCCTTGGTACTACAGATGAGGGGACGGAGGCTCCAGCTGCTGTCGGTGATCACACCGAGGGGTCGGATGGTGCAGGCCTTCCTGGGGGACCCCAGGCCAGGGCCCTTCGCTCACTCTGCCGCCTCCCTCTGAAACCATTGTCTCCAGCCCCCTCCCGGGGCAGAAGGGGAACACGGTGCGCCCTGGATTACGCTCAAGTGGACGCACAGCCCAGGCCCTGGTGCAGGCCGAGGGGGACCGCGCCCCGAGCTCCGACAACCCAGCTGCCGCGCGGCCGACCCACCTGGTGCCGCGGACGCGGGCGGGCGGCGCGGCAGCCCAGCCAGAGGCCGAGGCCCAGGCCGAGCGCGGCGCCCAGCAGCACGGCGGGGACCAGCAGGGCGGGGGCCGGCCGCACCGCGTCCCGGCTCAGCTGCAGCCGCGCGTCGCCGCCGCAGGCCGCCGCCTCGCGGGCCATCGCGGGCGCTCAGGCGGCGGGCTGGCCGCATCCCTCCCGCCGCCAGAGGCGGTGCGGACTCTGATCCCGGGCGCGCCCCGCCGGGCTTTCCGGCCTGTGCAGCCTCCTTCCTCCGGCTCCTCTCGGCTCCCCAGCGCGGCCCTTCGCCGTGGGGAGGAGCCTGGACCGTCCGCCCAAAACTTCGAGCCTCCCTGCCCGGGCCGGGCCCTGCGTCTGTACTGAGCATGCCCCGCGAGAGGCGCGCTTGCAGCCAGGGGACCTTTCGGAGGAGCAGTGATTTACCCGGGGACTCCCGACGTCTTAGGAGAGAAGGGGGCCCCCAGCCACGGAGGAGGGTGTTGCTGGGTTAAGTTGGGCGCTTCGGGTATGCTAAGCATTTAGTCCGATGATTTCAGTAATTTCTCAGCAACCCTCGGAGATGGGCACCATCATCACCTCTCCTCCTGATGAGGAAGCAGAGGATCAGATCCATTAAGTGACCCAGTGCAAGTTGGACTCCAGCCTTGTTCCTAACCTTTACCAATTGGTCACTCTTGGGCCACATAGTTCAACTCTGCCTCTGAACTTTTCACCTGAAGACTCCTGTTTTGATTCTACTTGCTTCCACTGATGGTCAATGCTGCCCTCTAAGTGTGCAGAGAGAATGTTACACCCAGCCCCCGCTAGGAACCAGACACTGGAGTCATTCATTCACTTGGCATTTACAGAGAACCTGCTGAGGGGGCCAGCACCAGCCCAGCAAGGAACCACAAAAGGGGCACGCACTGAGGGTCTCAAGGGTGTGTGGGGTCCTAAACAACTAGATGACTTCAACATCTTCTTTCTTGAAGCAAACATTTCCTGAGCAGCTACTAGATGCTAGGTCTTCTGGGAGCGGGGATACAGCAGTGAACACACACACACATCCACACCCTCCTGCCCTTTGGAGTTTACCATCTCCTGTAAGGGTCAGGGTAGGGGTACCATGGGGATTCACTTCAACAGAAAAGGGCTTCTCTGTGTTTTACCTGGACGACCAGGTAAGTTTCTAGTTGTTGCATCATTTACTCATCACTCTTTCCAGGTGGGCAACATGGGAACTATTATCCAGATTTACTTCTTGTGGGTGAAGAAACTGACAGCCAGAAAGAAGTGGCTCGATCAAGGTCTTGCAACTAGGAAATGACAGATAAATTAACAGCTGTGCCTGTCTGGCTTCGGGGCTCACACTCTGTGTACGCGGTGCTTCTTAAATGTTCCCATAGCAGCATCTCCAAGGCTCTTGGAAATGCGTTGGGGGCAGTAACCCAGTTTGCGTTATGCTGGCTATTTCCTTGGATATTCAGTCTTCAGTTTTAAAGAGTATAGTGTTCTTTGCATTGTACTTTATTATAAAGTTGTTTGAATATTAAAATTATCCTTTAAATTACTCACTGTCAAATAGAATTGATGCTCCCACAGTATGTTAGCATTTACCCTTTGACCTCTTCTCACTTATAGCACGCTGCCGACTACCGCCAAGGGCAGCGTACCCCATGTGGGAAACTTGGCTAATAAATTCTCAGGTTCTCAAACCCCACTGCCTTATCCATGTCAAGTCAGGGAAGGCCTAGCCTTGGAGGGGCAGGGGAAGGAGCTGACAGGTGCCGGGCTTCCTGGCCTGAGGCCACATCACTACCGTGCAGGAAGGCACAGAAGAGGGCCCTCTTCCCATGAATAGGTGTGAGCTGTCACTGAGGGCCCAGGGGAAGCAGGAGGAAGCCAAGACACTGCCCTGCCAAGCTCTTCCCAGTCTCTTCCCACCCCTCCTGCCCCCGGGGCACGAACAGCCCTGCCTGCCTGGAGAGTTCCGGGCCTTTTCTCAGTTGCTGCCTCCTGGTTCCCAAACCAACTCCCCTGTCTCCTCACTGACGTGCACAGCAGCGGGCCTGACTAGCCCCTCCACCTGCACCCGCGTGGGTACCTCGGCAGGTCCAAGGGTTAATCCGCAGCAAGTACTCAGGCGGTGGGAACCCAACTGTGCTGAACTGAACCCAACAGGAAATGAGAGTAGCCTTTCCCTCTGGTCCCTGGGCTGTCAGACTCCGTCCCAGCGTCTCTATTGCACTATGCCCTCCAAATGCATCTCAGTTCCCCAATAGGGGTATGGTGAATCTGGGGCAGGTTCCTGATTCAGTCAAGTGTGTGTGTCAGGGAAGGCTTCCTGGAGGCGGTGGGTCTGAGCTGAGACTCAAGAGAGCCGAGCAGGCATTATGTAGGGGCACTTGGAGCCCCTGAAATCTTAGGGAGCAGGGAAGTGACCCCGTATAACTGGGGTAGAGCGGAGCCCCTGCGTGGGGCGGCCTGCCACGCCTCCTTGCTCCCTCCCCCTTCGCCGCGTCAGCCACCTTCCCGCCGCCCAGCTCCAGGGGCCGAGTTTGCTCCAGAAAACTTTCCGTGGCGGCTCGCACTGAGCATGCTCGGGGGCGGGAGGGGCAGGGCGGGCCCGGGGTCCGGAAGCTCCGGCGACTCCCTGGGGCCGCCCCTCTGGGGTCGCGGGCACCTGCCGGCGATGGGTTCGCCTGCAGAACCCGGGAGAGTCACGTGGGTTCTGGCCGGGGCCATCCTGGCTACCGCCCTGGCGCTGCCCGCTGGGCCTGGGGGCCGAGGTTGGCCCCCTGCGGGCCCGCGTCCCCTCCTGGGCTCCCTCGGCGCGCAGCCTCTCGGGGATCCTCCCGGGGCGGGGCCCCAGCGCCCGGCACAGGTAAGGAGGCCCGCGGCCAGGCTCAGGTGGGACCCCGTGGCTGGGCTCCGCCCACGGCGGCTGCGGGGAGGCCCTTCCGATCCGGGGATTGATTGGAAAGCGCGGGATCAGAGTCGGTGCCTCGGTGCTCCTCCGTGCCGCCCGCTTGCGGTGGGAGCGCTCCCGGGCCTGGGGAGCCGGCCTCGTGGCGGCCCAGGGCTTGGACCTTAGCCCGCGGCCCGGGTCGCATGCCGCCTGCAGCCTAAGGGCCCCGTGACCTAGGGCAGGTCGCTTCCCTGCTGTGCGTCCGTTTCCTGCCCCGTCGCCCCGTGCGGGGTTCCCCCAGGGCTCGACGTGAGGCAGCTAGTCTGTCCGCAGAGCGTTCGCTTTGGCGAGCATTCTGCCCGAGGGTAGCGGCTGTTAGGAGAACAGTTTGGAATTGTTGGCTGGAGTTCACGTGACTGTACTCTCCTGGCTGATGAATTTAGCCACTTTCCACTTCACCCGCCCCTCCCTCTGTGGTCCCAAACTTGGGAAGGCAGGGATCCCTGGCTGCCACCCTAGGTCCCCCCACAACTCTCCGAAAGCTGGTCACCAGTCGCACTGCCTTTGTCTCCTAATTGTCTCCACCTCCGCCATCCCCACCTCCGGCCTCCGGCCTCGGTGACCGATTCCTCTGGGTCTACCCCACCTTCCTACCGCGTGCTCTTTCCCATCCATTTCCCCCAGCCCTCTAGGGGGGTGACTGGCCCCTGTATACCTCTGACCACTTCCCTCCCTTGCTCCCACCCTTTCCACCCCTCCCCTGCTGACCCAGGCTTCTGTTCCCTGGACTGCCCTCCCTGACCGGTGGGCTGGCCTCTGGCTGCCTTGAGATCCGCCCATCTCCCCTTCCCTAGGCCTGTTGAGTTCTCCGCCTGCAGGCCTCAGGGTGCATGTTACCCCTGTGACAGATTTTTAGGTCTCTTAAAAGAGGTTCTGTTCACTTTCGATTACTAGTTCTTAGGTTTTCACCAAAGAAGAAATAATAATACTGGGTCAATTTACTGAGCCCTTAGAAAATCCCTTGACTGAACATTTTCACAAGGCCCTCTCACCTGTGCCTGTGCACGATGGAAGTATCTGGCCCGTTTTGCAGATGAGAAAACCGAGGCCCAGGAGCCACACCCTCAGGTCTGTCCTGTGTTCTCTCCCTGGCCCCCATGTTCAGAGTCCACTCACTCAGTCTTACCTGCTTTGCACTTACTTTTCTCTCTGAGAAGCCAGTGCTGGAACATTCTGGTGAACATTGTTGTTATGCTCTGCAAGAAAGTGCTTTAAAACTGGAACATAAATGCTCAGTGTTAGATTATTATTTATCCCTTCTTGGAGGGTAAACTTACAGGCAGTTAGGGTCATTTCGCAGATGGCCTTAAGGTGTTCAGTCTAATATAGTAGCCACTAGCCACATGTGGCTATTATTTATTTATTGGACTTATTTACTTATTTATTTTTTATTAAGGTATTGTTGATACACACTCTTATGAAGGTTTCACGTGAAAAACAATGTAGTTACTACATTTTCCCATATTATCGAGTCCCCCGCATATCCTATTTCAGTCACTGTCCATCAGTGACATGTGGCTATTTAAATTTAAATATTTTAAGTGCTCAGTGGCCCCATGTGCTAATGTATTGGGCGGCTCACACTGTCGAACATCCTGTCCCTGTGGAAAGTTCTATTGGGAGTTCATTGGAAGGAGAGAGAGCAGTAAAGTGTTGAGTGGAAAAGAGGCTTCTGGTCGACCACCTGTGCCCAGTGTGTATGGAGGGCCCTCTAGGGGGCCTGGGATGCAAGAGAATCAAACAGCAGGACACGAAATAATGATGTCAGTCTGTGGTGCAGCGGTTGGTGGCTTAGGCTTGTAGAGAGAAATACAGTGGGTGAGGTGGAGCGAGCAAGGCAGACGTGAGCCCTGTGGAGATGGGTGGCAGGGAAGTTGCTTTGAGACGGTGACACTTGAGTGGAGCCTGAATGGAGTGAGGGAGGGCCAGGGCATGCCTGGAAGAGCTTTCCGGAGTGCCATGACAGGAAAGGCCAGAGGCAGGGTGTGCTCTGTGTGGTCCACAACCAGCCAGGAGCTGGGTGGGGGAGGTGGGAGGAGGTGGGGCCATAAAAGGCGCATCAGGAAAGACCCTGTGGCCGTGGTTGGGACTCTGGCTCTTATGCAGAGTCGGTGGAAGCTGTGGCTGTGCTTTGAGCAGGGAGGCAACATGCTGAGTTACCTTTTTAAAGCGTCCCTGTGGCAGGGATGAGAATGGAGGGCAGAGGGTGGAGGTAGAGCAAGGGAGGTGGGGTGGGGAGACCAGGGAAACGAGGGGGTGAGCTGGACCAGCAGGGCTCGTGGAGGGCTGCTGAGAAGTTGTGAGATTTCAGATATATTTTGAAGGTAGAGCCGTGGGGCCTGCTGGGATTGGATTGGACTGCGAGAGAGAGAGAGAGACAGAGACAGAGACAGAGACAGAGAGAGACAGAGACAGAGAGAGAGAGAGAGAGGAGAGAGGGAGAGAGGGAGAGAGAGAGGAGAGAGGAGAGAGGGAGAGAGAGAGGAGAGAGGAGAGAGAGGGAAGAGTCAAGGATGGGACCAAGGATTTCCCGCTTGAGCAAATAGAGACGCCAAGAGCTAATATGCAGAAGCCTGCGGGAGGCAACCAGGGACTCTGCTTTGGTCTTGTTGAGTTTGACGTGCCCGGGAGGCGTCCAGGTAGAGATGTACGGTAGCGTGCTGGATGGGTAGGTCTGGATTTGGGGGAGAAATCTGAGCTGGAGATTTACACTGGGGAGGTCAGTGTGTAAGTGCCTTCAGCTGCAGGGCCCTGGCTGAGCTCGCCTTGGGAGTGTGTCTGGAACGGGAAGTGAGGCCCTAGGCCAGAGCCCTGGAGCAGTGCTAGGGCTAGAGGCTGGGAAGGGGGGGATCCTGCAGAGGAGATGAGAAAGTGTGGCTGGTGTGACAGGAAGGGAACCAAGAATGTGACCTGGAAGCCAAGGGAGGAGAGCCCTTCAGGGAGGGAGGGCTCCCTGTAGGCAGAACGATGCTTCCCCCACCCCCAGAAGGCCCACATTCTGGCCCGCAGGACTTGTGAGTAGGGTAGGTGGCCTGCCAGTGGGAATTAGCCTTGCAGATGGCATTCAGGTTGCTAATCAGCTGATCTTAAAAAGAGGCTCTCCTGGATTATCCAGGCGGTCCCAGTGTAATCGCAGGGGCCCTTAAGAGTGGAAGACGTGGGTGGAAGAGGGAGTTTGGAAGGAGATGTGGCATTGGAGGAGGGCTGGAGGGCCGCCGTGTGAGGAGGACTCAGCCTGCTGCTGCTGGTGAGAAGGTGCAGGAGGGGCCGTGCGCCTAGGCGTGTGGGCACCTCTAGAAGCTGGAAAGGCAAGGCGTGGACTACCCACTAGAGCCTCCAGAAAAGAATGCAGCCCTGCTGACACTGATTTTAGTGGGGTGAGGCCCATGTCAGACTTTTGGCCTCCAGAGCAGTAAGGTAATAAATGTGTGTTGTTTTAAGCTACTAAGTCTGTGGCGATTTGTTACAGCAGCAGTAGGAAGCTAACACACTCACTGTAGATCAAATGCTGCTGGTAAGTCCTATGCGGTAAGAATGGAGAAGTCATTGAACAGGGCCTTGTAGAGGTCATGGTGACCTTGTCGAGGGCTGTGTCATCCTGGAGAGAGGGATGAGTGGGGATGAGAAGGCAGGGCATTGGAAGGTGGCCCTGGGCATGGTCTGTGAAAGCACGCTGCCCTCAGCCGCCATGGAGCCCCAGAGAGGCAGCTCCCAGGCTGGTGTTGGCCAGAAGCTGGGCAGAGCCTGGGGCCCACCGCCAAGGGTCCCTGGCCCCCTAGGGCCATCCCGGAGGCCTTCCTGGGTTTTTTGCTCCCTTCACACCTGCCCCTCCCTCCTGGGAGGAAATGTTAGTGGGTAAGGAGCTCTTTGTCCCTCTGAGAGGTCGGGGGCCAGGTCTGCTTTGCTCACCACGAGGCACCTGGCACAGAGCTGCCGGGCAGTAATGCTGATGGAAAGAGTGGGCGGAAAGTTCCAGGGGCGGCATTGTACAGACGTGCGGTTGTGTGTCTACTGGGTGCACCGTGGAGCCTCTGTTCGCTTGAGACCTCGTGAATGTTTTCTTTTTTTACTTAAAGGTTTTATTTTTCAAAGTAGGTAGAACAAAGTACAGAAAGTTCCTATATATCGCCTCCCCTGAGACAGGGACCGTGGGCTTAGACAGAGTGAGGTGAGGGCCTCTGGAAGAAGACCCCCGCCAAAACTCCATGTTAAATAATGAAGCAGTCAGAGTCACATTAATTCTCTAAAGTGAAATATCAAACTAGAAACATAAGCATTCTTCAATGAAATTAGTTAAAACTAAAAAGCCAAGAGCAACTTGACCTAGAAGTTTGAATACTCCCCAGATAAAAAAAAGCATCTCAGCATAGTCTATATTTTCACTGTGTCAGTTAAAACATACCACTGTAAAATTTACTTAAGCACCTGCTCAAAGGCCCAGCTTATTCAGGAAGAATTCTATCTTAAAGCTAAGATTGCATTTTAATCAAACGGACAGGGGCTCAGCCCACCCTGGAGGCAAGGCAGACAGTCTTGATTAATACGCTTCCAGACAGAAGCTGATACCCTAAAAAAAAAAAAATCAAAGCAGTAAATTTCTTGTGTTAAGCTAATTTTGAAAAATAAGCAACTGATAAGAAACTTAGTATCTCTTCAAAGATAAACATTTTGGGACCATCTGGCAGGTCTGCATCTGTCCTGCCAATGGGTTCCAGCCACGGGCAAGTTTGCTATAGATTCATTGTGACCAAAGAAAATTGATAGCAGAATGCTCTTTGGGGTGAAAGGGTTATATCCAACTTTATTTCCAGGTGGCAGGTCAGTCACTAGGATCCCATTCATTCAGAGCAAGTCTGCAGGCAGCAAGCCAGTCTCTGCCTCCGGGCCCCTCTGTCCACACAGATGTCCTCTGGGCCTCTCTGCACAGTCGTCCCACACAGCAGTCCTCTGGGCCTCTATCCTCTGTTCTGCCACCACTCCAGCCTCTGCTCTGCTCTCCTGCAGCCTTGCAGCCCTGCCACCGTGTTGTGCCCAGAGCACTGGGTGGAGCTCTTTTTATAGAGTCAACAGCCATGTATTGCCCACAGATGTGCAGTGAGCCAGTCAACCACGTCCAGGTGAGAATCCTGGCCACAGGAACTCTCATTTTATCCACAGCATCCCTAGCCCTTTGTCTCTCAACCGTCTGTAAATCCCCAGACAACGCACCACCCCGGGCTCTCTTGCTCTCTTGTCTTCCTGGTGCAAGCCAGGGGTTTTTACCTCTTACTTTATCTCTAAATAAAAAAAGCCCCTCTCTTGCTCTCCTGTTTTGAGTGTTTGCAAAGTTCATTCTTCGACTCTGAACAAGAACTCTGGCATCACCCCGCCACCAACACAGCTTCCCCTGTTATTAACAGCTTACATTAGTGTCATGCATTTTTATGATCAATGGACTCATAGTGGTAGATTTTTATTGAAGTCCATAGTTTATTCAGATTTCCTCACGTTTTTTTTAACCTAATGCCCTATTTCTGCTCCGGGATTGCATCCAGGGCGCCATAGTACATTTAGTCACGACGCCTCCCTTGGGTGCGACTCATCAGGGCTCCTCCTGACTGTGGCAGTCCGGCAGACCTCCCGTGTTTCTGATGGCCTCGGCGGTTCTGGGCGGCGCTGGTCGGTGTTTCGTGGCCGGTCTATTGGGATATGTGCAGGTGCATCCTAGCCGCGGGCCCTCATGGCGTTGGTGCTGGCTGTGACCTCCTGCTATGGTCACGCTGGTCAGCTTTCTCCCCACTTTCTGCCTGTGCTTGTAGAGGAGGTCCCTGTGCACAGCCTGGAAGGATGTTTTCATCAGGAGGTTTTTTTCCTGCCAGATGGTAGTAAAAGCTTATTTCACCCTCATCAGCTCTTCGTGGACTTGGGGTCATGCTGCTCACACACACCTGTCCAAGGAGGCTTTGGCAACAACATTTGTGTCAGATGGGGGGGTCCTGGAGGACACCAAGGGGCAGGCTTGCAGAGCCGCCCTGTGCATGGCACCTGTCACTTCATCTCTGTTCATGGTATTCCTGCTGTTGCAGTGACACATGGGCGTGTGCTCCGTGTTACAAGAAATAAAAACCAGTGGAGAAAGGGGAGCCTCCCTCCACTGGTGGCTCTGCCACCCCTCCTTTCCCCAGGTCGCCAAGGCCAGCAGGCAGCACAGCCCTTCCCAGGCTCTTCAGAGTAGTCCGTGGATATAATGTGCTATGTGTTATACTGTTAACTTCATCAATAATTAGTATGAAATAAATATATTAAGTACCCCCATAGTTTTTAAATTATTAAACATATCAATAAATATACATATATGAATATATGTATAAATAAAATAAGTATATATAAATATGCTTTTATTAAAATAGGAATGTAAATGTATTATTAAATATTAAATAGTATATTAACTCATAAAAGATCCCATTTTTATTAAATGGGATTATACTCATGATTTTGTGATCTAGTGATTTCACTTGATGTATCTTAACATTATTTCTAGGTAAACATAGATCTGCTTTATTTATTCAATCATATTTATAATTGCGATAAAATACACCTAACAAAATTTACCATCTTAACCATTTTTCAGTGGCATTCAGTGCGTTCACACTGTGGTATGGCGTCACCACCACGGGTCTCCAGAACTCTGTCTTGCAAAGCTGAAACTCTGTTAAATATCAGTATCAACTATTAACAACAGCTCCCCGTGCCCCCTCCCTGAGCCCCCACCCTTCTACTTCCCTGCTCCGGGAATGTGCCCGCCCTGGGGACCTTAGGAAAGTGGCATCACATGGTGTTTGTCCTTTTGCGACTGGCTTAGCTCACTGAGCATCATGTCCTCCAGGCTGGTCCATGGTTCAGTGGGCGTCAGATGTCCTTCCTTGTGAGGGCTGCGTCACACCGCACTGCCTGGGAGGAGCACGCTGTCTTTCCCCATCTCCTGTCCGTGGACTCGTGGGCTGCTTCCACATGTGACTTGTGGGTATGGCTGCCGTGAACACGGGCATGTGGGTATCTCTGTGAGCCCTCTCCAGTCCTCTTGGGTATGCCCCTTGTGTCGTGAGGAATAATTGTGCCACTGGATATGGGGTTTTCTGATGCTCAGTATGTATGGACACATACTGACACCATGGAGCGGTGTATGGAATGAACGTGATTGATTAGACTCCCAAGTCCTGGAGGAGGAGGACACCACACAGGGGGCCTGTGGGGGGAGCAGATTGGGCTCCACCAAGTAGGTGGGGAGCAGAGAGAGAGGACCTTGGGCAAGTTGTCTCCATGGGGAATTTGGGGAGAGCACACATGCAGAAGGAGGGGGGGGTCTCACTGGTGCATTTGAACGCCGTGAGGTCAGTCGGGGAGGGCAAGAGGAATGGGCAGTTCTGGGGTGGCTTTGGTATGAGGCTGGCTGGGTCCAGCTTGTCTCTGTCCTCCCTGCATTTCCCATTGCCCAGTCTTTGTGCCTCCACCAGTGGGCCTCTTGTCCCAGCCCTTGGGTGGGCCTCGTCTGTGCAGCTGGAGAGGCCAGCTTATGTCATCCCAGTAGAGCTGCTTTGCCTATAGGGACTAGGCCCAACATATGTGGCACTCTGTGGCCAAGAGGACAGGCTTACTCTGGTCGTGAGCAAGGACACGGGGAAAGCTTTCCAAGAAGGCAAAGACAAGCCACAGCAGTTCCCTCTCTGTCCCACTGAATGGCCTGCTTTCCATGGTGTCCTGCCCGCTTGAGGGCAGTGTAAACATCAGCCACGGGAACAGCCCTGGTAACTGGGCTCTGAGCTGGGCCCGAGCATCCCTCTCAGCTCTCCTGGTCTCGGCTGCCTGGCACATCCTTCTCCTTCCATCACAGAGAAACCAGTGTGTCCAGAGCCAGGCCGTCTGGGTTCAAAGCTGGTCTCCAGTGCTTCCCACCTGTGGGACCTGGAGTGAGCTACCTAGTGACCGTGAGCCTGGGGATTTTACTATAAACTGAGGGTGTCACAGCTTGGTGATCATGAGGACTGTGACTGATTCACTTGGCATGCACAGCATGGAGCCAGTCCCATTTCAAGATCTCCAGCTGGGACGGCTTTACTGCCAGTGCTGCTTTGCTGTGCGGAGGCCTGGACGTTTCCAGGGCCCAGGATCTTACAGAGGTCGGAGGAGTTGACTGGGCCCTCCATGTTGACAAGTCTCACCACTGAATGAGGTGAAGCAAGCTGGGAAGAGGCTTTGAGGTCTTCACTTTTTAGAGTTGGGATCTGAGGCTCAGAGAGGGTAAGGGACTTTGCCAAGGACACACAGCAAGTTCATGGTTCCAGCTAGAACTCAGTCCTCCGGAATCCTTATCCAGTATTTTATGTGTCACTCTGTGAAAACTTGCAGGGTCTTGGGAATTCAGGGGCTCTAGGCTCAGCTGCATCACAGGGTTTAGTGAAAAGCAGAGCTGGGATTTGAACCCAGGGCTGTCTGACTCAGTGAAGTTTCAACCACATGGGAGCTGCCTCCCTAGACAGCTCCCAGAAATGCAGGTTGACTGAGTAGAAGGTCTGTGTGGGAAAGAGAAGATATAATCTTGCACTCAAATCTGGTGGAGTTGGTTGACTTAGAAAAATGTCCTTCAGACTTAAAATGCTGCTCATCTCTGTGGGAGCCATTTATGCAAATGACTTTCAGCCCCTTCTTAGTGGGCCGTATCTCACTTAAAAAGCTGTGTGTATTGACGCTACAAGTGTGTTCTTCAGTTCATGATGTTGTGCCCTTTGAATTTTTTAGGACTTGCCCCGAAGGATCTGGCCCAATGTGGAAAGCTCTCACTTTAAGACTGCAGGTAAGTTTTTCTTTTGGTTGATTTTTCGTTGCTTTGACCAAGAAAGAAAATCCAGCCCTAAAGCTGCAGCCCTTCTGCCTCCAGCCTCCCTCCACCTCCGTCCACCCGAGGTCTGCGGAGCTTGGGCAGGTCGGTCACTCCTGATGTGACAGAGCGAGGGCAGCGTGCTGCCTCCAGCAGCAGCGGGAGCTTCAGTGCCCTGAACAGGCTGCATGGGGAGGCCTTGTCTTGCTTCTCTCCTGAAGAGCCTGATTAATAACATACAGAAGATGCACATGAGCCCCAGGTATGAGTTTCCTAGGGCTGCTCTACAAATTGTCACAAACCGAGTGGCTTAAAGCAGCACAGGTTTATTCTCTCACATCTCTGAAGGCCTAAGCCCGAAATCAGTTGAGTCAAGCTGACGTCACGGTTTGGCGGGGCCGCGCCCCCAGGGGCCTGGGGAGACTACCTTACACCCTTTTCTAGTGTCTAGAGCTGCGTTCCTTGTGTCCCCTAGGTCCTGGCCCCTCCTCCATCTGCAGAGCCTGCACTGTGGCATCTTGTTTCATCAAACTTGCCATAGCTCCCCGCCACTCCCCTCTTAGGAAGGCTCCTGGGAGGACATTGATGCCCACCTGGTAGTCCTGGTCAGCTCCCTGTCTCAAGGCCCTTAATTTAGTCACACCTGCAAAGGCCCTGTTCCCATACAAGGTAACATATTTACAGGTTCCCGAAATTTGGACCTGGGTATCTTTGGGGCCATTATTCAGCCCACCATCCCAGGTCACAGAAATTCAACCGAAACTAACCTAAGCAGAAGGGACTTTGATGGCACGGTGACCGAGCCACACCGGCCCGGGCCCTGCCTGATGCAGGAGCGTCTGCCTCGGGGCTCTGCCTTCCCTCTCCCCCTCATCCCCTGCTCTCTGGTCATGTCATTCCCAGCCACTTTCTGCCCGTGTGGTGTGGAGGACAGCTGCTGGCGTCCAGCTTCCAGGAGCCCCACGGCTGGCACGGGCAGATCTGAAGACTTCCCAGTAGCTCAGCCAAAGTTCCAGGGAAGACCAGGGCTCAGCCTGGTCCCCTGACCCCATCACTGGGGCTGGGAGTGGAGCTTCTGGGTCCTGTGCCTGATTCTGCCTCCTGGGGACCAGGATGGGCCAAGGCCCAGTGTAGGAGTAAGGCCACTGGGACAGGCTTCAGGGAGGACTTCCTGGAGGAGGTACCCCTCAGCTGAGTCCTGAGGAGTGGCAGTTAGCAGGATAGGGGATGGAGGCAGAGGCTTCCAGGCATTTGGCTGCCCAGAGGTGAGAAAACATGGATACATCCAAAGACATGCACAAATGGTGCAGGTGACTCTGTGTTGGTGGCAGTAGTGGGGAGGCCCCTCCTGCAAAGTGATGGGTGGGGTGCTGACAGTCACTTTATAGCTTGATTCCTTCTACACCGTCCACCAGCACCAGTAGGGCCTGCCTTTCTGGCCTTCACCCAAGCCTGTGGCCAGGTCTTCTGAGGGCCAAGAGGAGCGCCATGGGGCATAAATACATGCCCCAGCGTGGCTGTGTGATTTCACGTGCACCCAACCCTGCTGAAAAGCATTTGTCCCTTGCCTGAGGGGCTGGGTGGGGGTGCAGAGGCAGGGGTCCAGTCCCACTTCCAGTCCGACCGAGTCAGCAGCTGGCCTGGGAATGGGCCCTCCTGTGTCCATGCTGAGGGCCGTCAACTCCCTCATGCTGCCCTTTATCCTCATCCCAGCTTCATGAACCGAACCAGCCACGGCTACTATTCCAGGCAGGAAGGTACCAACTTTATCTAGGATCCAGCTTCACACCTTTTTTCCCCAAGTTCTGATTCCTTTCTACATGTGCTTTGGAATTCTATGAGAGCTTCCAGGAGCACTTCTAAAGACTTTTCTGTCAGTACACTGCGTAAGAAAGTCTGAAAATAAATTCATCTTTAGTCAAAATACAGTTTGTATTTGGATATAAATAGATGGTGGAAAAGGCACAACCCTGTGACCCAGGTCAATTTATATTTCAAAAATACAAATTTATAACTCCAAGCATTTATTAGTCATAAGCCCTTTCATGTAGAGCATGTCATTTAATTTGCTCCTTAGGCAATCCTGTCTGATTAATATTTTTAACCACATTGCCAAGTGAGGGACACTCAGCTGACCTTTGTGGGTCACCCAGCTGATCAGCGACAGAGCAGCACCCACTCAGGACCACTCCTGACACCCAGCCAGTACCTTTTATGGGATATTTCTGTGTTATACGTGGTCCTCATACATTTTCAAGTTACACTGCAAATCCTAGAGGGAGTCCACCCACGTTGGATGGCCTGGCAGACCCTGTGTCTGGTGATGGGCTGATCCTCCTTGATCGTGGCGATCAGGGGTGCTCTTGAGGGCTTATTCTGCAGGAGACAGGTCATCAGATGGACCCCGTGGGGTAAGACTTACTCTTCTTTCCATTTGGAGTTGGGAAAACTGAGGCACAAAGAGGTTAGTGGTGGAGATGGGATTTGAACCCAGGGCTCTCTGATGCTGTGTGTTTAAGAATCACTGGGGCATTTCCTTTGCCTGGTGGTTCTGACTCTGGAGCTATGGGTGGGCCCAGGAATGGACATGTTAGGGCACAGCCAAGATCAGGGCCACACACTTTGAGAGACATCCTCCTTAAGCTCTACAGACCCCCAAGTGAGCACATCTCATTTTCCTGGCAAATGGATTATACATCATCCACCCATCCATCCATTCATTTACTCATTTATTCAGCAAATGTTTTTCAGGTACCTTCCACATACCACATGGTCTCCTCCAGGGCTTAGCTTCTGCATCTCACTGGCTTTCTGCGTCATGTAAGCCATGTACATTGCTCTTCTGTCCTGGAGGCGCCTCTTGGAATGAAATTCAACAGGACAATTGAAGTCTTTAATGCACTCCCAACTTCTGCAACCTTTGGTGGGCTGTGGACCCAATCCATGTCTGCTTTTCTACCCTCAGGGCCCAAGAAGACCTTGTTTAAAAGAGAATCTCCTCTAACACACCACCTGGTAAGTAACACATTCAGTACTTTAACAGAAATACCTGAAATTGGAAAGAAACCAGTTTGGGGTCAACTGTATATAAAATATCATGGCTTTTCTTCCTTAAAAAAGTCTATTCCTTCTCTTTTGCTAAATATAGTTATCATGGAGGAGCATATCTATCTTTCCAAAGAACTGTTTCTTTTGTACAATATCAAGTATTTAGATGAATAGGATGTTTGAATCTGAGCATTGCACTGCCTTGTCTGTTGGTTCTAAAGCTTTGGGGCTCTGGGTTCTGCTTTAACCAGACTGATTCACTTCTAGCTTTTATAAAAATGCCATTACTGATAATAATGGTGAGCATCTAGGAAATCTGTACTACATACCAGGCACTGGGCTTAGCACTTCTATGCATCATCTCACTGGGACCTTATTACAAGTTCCTTAAACAGCTGCTGTTTTTATTCCCATTTTGCAGATGGGAACTTCAGGATTAGAGAGATTAAGAAACTTGGTCAGGGTCCCAGAGGTAGACGTGGCAGAGCCAGAAATCAGAGCCAGTGCCCTTAGCCTCTGTCTTGCCCTGCTGTTCTTTATATTGTCTTCTATGTGTTGGCTTCACAGAGGCCAGTACTTAAAATGGTGTAAAGACCATTTAGCTTGGCCAATGGGCTTCCATGGCCACAAGCCCCCTTTTGCCCCCTGCTGAGTGGTTGAACGAGTTTCCTAGCACTGAGAAACATTACCACAAACTTAACTTAAAACAGTGGGATGTATTCCGTGACAGTTTGGGGAGACCAGAAGTTCAAAATCAAGGTGTCGGCAGAGCCACACACCCCCCGGAGGCTGTAGGGGGGGATCCTTGCTTGCTTCTCTGTTCCAGCTTCTGGTAACAGTCCTCGGCCTGTGGCCACATCACTCCAAGCTCTGTATTAGGATTCTCCAGAAAAACAGAGCAGGATGTGTATGTACTGAGAAAGACACAGGGGAGAGAGATTACTTTAAGGAGTTGGCTCCCGTGATTGTGGGGCCTGGCAAGTCCAGACTCCGCGGGTGGGCCGCAGCCCCAGGGAGGAGCTGGCGTTGCAGCTCAGGTGAGAAGGGCATCTGCTGCCGAGGCCCTCTGCCCCGGGGGAGGGCAGTCGTTTTGTTCATGGGGGAGGCGCACCCTCATTATAAATGATGCTGTCTGCGTCACTCACAGCCCACTGATTAAAGTGTTAATCTCATCCAAGAAACACCTTCATATGACACCTGGATGTCTTTGACTAAATACCTGGGTGTCCCAGCCTAGCCAAAGGGACACATCACATTCACTGTCACACCGCTTTCATCTTCCCATGGCTTTTTTCTCTGCATCTGTGTCTTCTCCTTTTCTATGCTAGTAAGGGCATTTGTCACTGCAACCCAATCTGCCTAAATCTAGCGTGATCTCATCTAGAGATCCTAGCTTAATTACATCTTCAAAGACCCTTTTCCAAATAAGGCCCCGCCCCTGGGTTATGGGTCTCAGGGAGTGGACACCTCCTTTCGGGAGCCGTTGTTCAACCCCGACAGTGGCCACCATCGTTCTTGCTCTCCTGTTAGTGGTGACATGACCCTGGGCTCTCCCAGCAGCACCCTGTGCTTAGCTGCTCCCCCTGCCTGTAAGTGCTTAAAAGTTGTGTGCATTGATGCTACATGAGGGTCAGAAGAATGGAAAGCCAGGTGCCTGCTCAAGGGTTCTCAGAAACTCCTTGGAGCCCTGGCATGTCAAAGCAACATCAGGGGAGGTGGGAGACAGCAAGCTCAGCCGGAGTCAGCGTCCCGGGCAGGCTGCTGCTGCTGCCTGTTGTCAGCACATTCTCACTTCCCCTGCCTGCGTCTGTGTTTCTGTACAACGAGAGACTCACGCTCTGGAGAGGGGATGTGCTTTGTGGGAGAATCATAAGATATGGAGGCCAGGAGAGAGTCCTTGCTTCCTTCCTCTGCAACCTTGGGAAAGTGAGCCAGCCTTCATGAGCCTTAGCTTTCTCATCTGTAAAATGGGAGAAATAGAATTCAAGTATGTGAAGTGATGGACATACGCCTGCCCTTGGAAACAATAGCTGTTGTTAAGATTATCATTAACAGTGAGAGATGCCATAGGCTGACCAGGAGATCGGTGGGCGGGGCAGACATTGGGGAGGTGTGGCCAAGGAAAGCGTTCTCAGCGAGGTCCGGGTCCGGTTCACGTTAAAAGGTATGTCAGTATTGTGGAGTTTGGGTCCTGGGGTCAGAGAGGATGTGGTGAGGGCGTAAGTGAACAGATATTGGTTGTGATTTTGAGAGGCAGTGAGGCCTGGCCTCTGGTGGGTGAGCCCTGGCTGTCCTTTGGAATTTTTCCAGGGGAACCACGGCAGGGCTGGAGGAGGCCAAAGCTGGGGGACTGTCCACACTGCTGGTGGGTCCCGCCCTGGGGAGGCTGCCACAGCTCCCTGTGATCCACGTTCCCCCGGTCATGCTGCAGGTGGCATACAGAGCACACAGCCGGCAGAGGATTTCCCCATGCCCCTGCTCACATTCCTTTTGCCGAAGCGTCAGCCCTCGTTTGCCGCGTCCCCTGTACAAGTGTCATTCACGCGTACCTCCAGACTGGAAAAAAGCCACCGTGTGACCACGGCCAGATTCCTCATTCCTTGTAGGTGTTAAGTTCCAATCCTTTGATACTTAAAAAGGAAAAATCTCCAAAATTAATTAAGGCAGTTAGTTACTGGACTGCCTAGCAGAAGGGATCATCTATCCCCCTTTTAAAAATTCGTCTTTTACTTGTATTAAACATATGTAGCATGCACTGTTTTTTTGTTTTCTAATAATTTCTTAATTTTATTGTAGTATGGAGACATTTTAAGGGACGTACAAAGAACTTCTGAGACTGGAGTAATTTTTCAGAAATGTGCAGTGGTAAGTGTCCATAGGCACTTGAAGAGAAAATAATTGGATTTGCCCAAATCCTATATTAGTAGAGTTATATATTTAAGAGCTGGCAAGGGTGGAAATGTCTGAGGTGTCTACCCATGTCAGGACATATTAGTGATGAGGAGACCTGAAAGGGATCCTGTATTTTGTATCACAGTGTCAGGACTAAGATTTTCTTGGTAACAGGTTACTGTTAGTGAAAATCCACTGTGGCCATTTAGAATGGGAAAGAAAATACATTTTCTTTCAGATTTTAACATTAATACAGTGCATGATAGTTTTAAAATTTTATTTAATGTCTTTTAAGTCTTTGGCCCTTACTAATCCCATGAGAGGGCTTTTCATACTATCTCTGTGTTGGAGGGCCTCAGGTTCCGTAATTCACTGGAAGGACTCACAGAACTCAGAAGAGCCGTTACACTTTCATTGCAGTGAAAGGATACAGATTCAAGTCAGCAAAGGCAAAGCCACAAAACGACAGTGTGGAGAGACCAGGCGCAAGCTTCCCGCTGTCTGTTCCTCATGAAGGAATATGGACAATGTTTCCTTTTCCCAGTGAGATGTGTGACGTCATGTATGAAGTCTTGTCAACCAGGGACACTTAGCCAAGCTTTGGTGTCCGGGATATTTATTACGGGCAGTCACGGAGGCGTGGAGCACCCACGGAGCTGACCACAGTCATTCACTCTCCAGCCCCTCTGGGGGTCACCCCGACACAGCCTGGCCCCAGGGCCCTCCTGTGAATCACGGTGTTAGCATAGCCCACCAGGCCCTGGGGATGTAAAGACACGTGTACCAGGCAGGATGTTCCAAGGACTTTGGAGGTTAACCTCCCTCTGGTCAAGGAGCTCATCAAAAGGCCAGTCCCCTCTGGCCTGTGCAGGTTTGGGCAGCCCAAGCGTGCTGAGTTAACCCTTTACTGCCCAACCCTCTTCCTGTCTCATGCCTCAGCTCTCTTGTCCCCTTGCCAGGGTCCAGTGGGTGCTACCAGTTTTTCATATGTCTTCCTATTTTCTGTCATACGCGTTTAATTATGAGTGTGTGCATGTGTGTATACCTGCATGTATACATACGTGTGCCTTCTTTCTTCCCCTTTGTGCATAGGTGGTAGTATACTATACGCGGAGTTCTGTGACTTGCTTATTCATTTATTTATTTCTTACCAACTGTGTCTCTGTGCTTACACTCCTTTGCACACGCAGTGCTTCCCTCTCTTTGCTCAGCTGCTGTATCTCTTCCAGCAGAGCTGGGGTGAAGGAGGGACAGGCTGGTGGGAGATCAGAGGGGGCAGGACAAGGTGGGGAGCCAAGCGACCTGGGCCACTGGGTGGCTTCCAATAGCAAAGCCATTCAGACCTGTGGCCAGGCAGAACCTGGAGGGGCAGATGGCCGGGGCAGGAGACCAGCTCGGGGAGATCTTGGAGACAGATGGCAGTCAGGAGCCCTGAGAAGGGCTCTGGGCCTGGGCTGAGTCTTAAGATGATGGAGTAAGAAACAGCCCTGCTCTGCTCTTCCTGGTGACACCAGTTGTCACAGTCTCCCCACCTTGACTGTGGTTCTGTGCTTGGATAGGTTTTCTTCTAAGTTTCTCTGCAGGAATGATTTCACTGCTTTTTAGGTCCCAGTTACTTTGAAACTGTCACCAGGCAGCAGCTTGGCAAACACGAGTCAGAGCTCCCCTGGGGCCTTTGAAGTCAGACCTGAGAAATGCTCCGAACCCTCCTGAGACTGTAGTGTCCTCTCTGCCCTGATGTGCAAAGTGGAACTGGGGCCTTGTTTTCAGATGTGGGAAGTGCACCCTCATTTCATCCCTGTCCCAGGTCTCCGGGCAGAGCGACTGGCAGACGGCCCAGGTGCGACTGCTTGTGAACAACCCCAGGACTCCCGGGGCAGCCAACCTATCAGACCTGCTCCTTCTTGACAATGTCACGGGCCTCATCATCAGGGAGTCGGCCGGAGGCGAGACCTCCGGGGGATTCCAGGCTTTCCGAAAGGACTTTCTGCCAGGTAATAGCAGAGTGTGCTGTCAGGATGGACGACTGTGGAGGCGCTCACATACTTGCAGAGCACATGACGCATAGCAGGTACATTCATAACCATGTTACATGTGCCCAGTAGGCTCACCCTCACAGGGGATTTTACTCCTGGGGTGTCACAGAGGGAGGCCAGCACTCAATACCTGCCACCAAAAAGCTGGATTTATTACTGAAGTTAGAGGTGGAATTCAGAGAAAGTGTTTTACAAATAGACACATTCAGTTTTTCTTACGACAGTTTCAAGCAGATACTATAAAAATGGAGTTTATAGTGAATCCCAGGGTATCAATCTCCAGATGACCAAAATTATTAGTAATAAAATCATCTCAGTAATCTCAGTAAAATGCAGTTAGTTTTGGGGTATGCTGGATAGAGGGGGAAGTGGTGCAGTATTAGCCCTGGAAGGGTGCTCATGAGATGTTCATGTGTGTTCATGCACGTGGTCAGTTGGAGCACCTCCACTGCTGATTGGCTGGCTTTCAGAGGTGTGTTTCCTGAGGCGAGTTGCCATTGGTTAATTAAGTGGGTTTAAGGTAATGCTGGGATTCAGTTGTTGCTGTGGCTTCAGAACTGCCAGTTTTCCCGGGAGGGGGAGGCTTCTTTTATTCTGAGGAGCTGTGTTAGTTACACAGGCAGAGGCCGAGCTGGTGAGGACCTTGCCCACGGCCATAGGGCTAGTGGTCAGGGCTGAGATTCACACGCAGGCAGTCTGGCTCCCCTGCCCTCCCTGTAACCATGTTGCTGTAGCTCCTCTCACAGGCCGAGGACCCTTACTGACCTTCCCCGTTCTCTATGCATGACCCCCATTGCTCAGCGATCATGCCACTCCTGTCTGAGCCTAGGTGAGACCTCAGAATCCTTCTTAACACCGTACTATTGACAAGCTATTGGTGGAGTTGGCCCACAAGTGCTGACCCCTTTCTTTGCCGGCTATGGTTTAGCAATGTCATAGAAACATTTATGATACATCCCAGCTAAGCGATCTTCAATACCTTACTTCAAAGATGTAGGAGAAGTGCCCCCAGTTCTTAAGCTAGTGTTCAGAGAATGGAGCATGGGGCCACAAGCAGTGCACAGACAAGGTCTCAGACGGACCTAGATTTGACCCCTAGCTTGGCCACTTGGAGCTGTATGGCCTCCGGAAAGTACTGACTTTCTATGAGCTTCAGATGTCACGTTACAACTGCTACAGAGCCGCGGCAGAGACTGACCAAGGTGACGTGACCTGCCAGTGCCCCTCACACAGCCTGTGTCAGTAGTTCTTTTATTATGATTATTTTTATCCTTTTTGTGGGTGTGCGCTAAGAATCACACACGACCTGCCTTCTTAAACTTTTAAGGATACAGTGTGTCTATTAAATATATTAAATACACAACTATGGTATTGTGAATTGTATCCATGTTGCACAGCAGACCTCTAGAACTTTTTCACCCTGTGTAACCGAAACTCTGTACCTGTTGGACGCAGCTCTCCATTCCCCACTCCTCCCAGCCCCTTGCAACTACTGTCATTCTTGCTGCTGTGTCTTCATGGTCAGGTCTGTGCATGCTTCACCTCTGCCTCGGACCCTCCACGGGCCCCGACGGCAGCATCGGATTGTGTTTGTCTGGGAACCCACCACTTAGTTGAGGGATATGACTGACATGGTTTTCAACTTAACAGACAGGATACTTCTTTCCAAAGAAGAAGTATATACCTATAAAATCAGATGACCAGCAGACCCCAGCCCCTTGACCCTGTGCACTGAAATTATCATCGTTATTTGCTGCTTTTCTTGTATCAAAGCCACTGCCATTTAGAGAAATGACGATGGGCCCTAGAGGGTAGGTGGCTTCCTGCTTATTAATCGGGGTTGAATCTAAACAAATCACCTCACATCCATCTCACTTTCCTCGTCTGTATGTTGCAGAAAATAACGTGTCCTCCATCTATCTCAGGGCACCCCTGGGGGTTCAGCTGGGTTGACACACATGCAAACACTTTGCGGGTGATAAAATCATTGTGCCAGAGTGAAGTCTGATGATAATGACCGCCACCAGGATTATTCCTATCACCTTATCTTTATGATCCTAGCTTTTCTCATTATGTAAAAATAAAATGAAAATGTTGAGGACTTTTACAATAAAAATCCCAGTGATTCCATAGGCTCGATGCTCTTTTTGTCTGTGTTTTTGTTTTTTTTTAAATTTTTTGTGGTCCCAATGCATTGAGAAATGAAGCAAATTGTAGCATATTATCATGTCATAACCCCCATTACGGATGAAGGCAAAGTTGGAGAACACGCTTGGTTGGGGTCAGATGGTCCAACTGACTGACTGGCAAAGTTGGACGGGCCAGTCACCCACCGGCCGTGTCCGACCAGCGCCCCCAGTCCCGTGGAGGCTGGGCTGTCCTGCTTCTTGCTGGCGGCCTCCTCCCATGCGTAAAGAGGGCCGACTGACAATGTGCACCCAAACTTGGAATCAGATGAGGTGTGCCCCCTAGGGAGGAGGGGCAGGAGAGGCCAGCCCTCCGTCAGGAAGGTGCCGTGCTCACGGGAAGGAGCGTCAGGGGCGATGAGTATGGCCTCCCTGGCGATATCTGTCATTTTGTTCAACAAACCCCCTGGGCCTCTTGTTAATCTGAAGACCCTTGGATTCAAGCCCTCTCCCCGCTGCCCCTGTGTGTGTCCCTCTGGGACTGCTCGTGGGTAGAAGAGATTTACTGTCCCTGCCCTGTGAAGGCTTTGGAAATGACTCAGAGTATTAAGTTACTGAAATAAACTGAAACACTGCTATGTTTCCCCCAGCTGGGAATTCTTCCCACAGCTCTAAACCCTTGGAACTCACGTCCAGCTGTGCCATTATCAAGGTACATCAGGGATTTTGCAATGAGATTAAAGGACAGCCCTGAGTTCATTCACATAAAGACCTTCCAACATGACCTGCCAGCACTTCCCTTTTGCAAATTTTCAGGGAGACATGAAAATCTTAGGAATGAATCTCCTGCAAATTGAAATCCAACTATATTCAAGTCCAAAAGGAATTAAAATCTGAGGCCACAAGTTTTGCCCTAACAGGCATGTGAAATCCCAAAGGCACCCTCCTGCAGCCATCAGCCTCCTTCTGGTGTGTAGCTGTCTGGCGTGGCTGGGGCCTCTGGTGACTCACACGTGCTTTTTCTCTCTGAGCAGCTGGAGACTCCTTCTCAGTCAGCTACACAGCCTCGCTCAAGGCCAGAGCCGTCGGGAGTGGAGAGGTCCTGATGCTTCCTGCACTGCTCACCTTCCAGACTTCATCAGCGGTACTTTCTTGTTGCTTTCATTTCCGTTTTATCACTGTTGTTCTAGAAACATGAACACCTAGGGCACAGTGTCCCTTTTAGTTCACTTTTTCCATCCTTGCTTCCTTGATACCGAGCTCTGGGTAAGTGCGTGGGCCTGGAGTGTCAGCCGCTGCACGCACCTCACTCCCTTAGCAGCTCATTGTGATCTTGAGTGTTACTTAACCTCTGCTGGCCTAAGATGGGGTTATTATAAGGACAAGTAAGCAGTGGGTGTTAACTTCTCATCACCGTGTCTTGTGCTATAAACAGTCAACCTCTAGCTGCGCTTGTATTCATTAGCTAGAGCTGCCGTGACCAAGCGCTGTAGACCAGAGGTTTAAAAACAACAGACGTGTATCATCTCCCAGTCCTGGAGGCTGGATGTCCAAGATCAAGGTGTGGGCAGGGCCGGTTTCTCCGGAGGCCTCTCTCCTTAGGTTGTAGATGGCCAAGGTCTTCCCCCTGGTCTTCACTTGGTCGCCCCTCTGTGCACGTCTGTGTCCTAATCTCCTTTTCTTATAAGGACACCAATCAGATTGGAGTAAGACCACCCTAATGGCCTCATTTTACCCAGATTACCTTTTTTAAAGCCCATTCTTCCAAATACAGTCACATCTGGAGGTATTGGGGATTAGGGCTTTAACATACGGATTTTGGGAGGGACGTGATTCAGTCTGAAACACCGGTGCTATCTTCATTTTTCATTCACCTTCTGTAATCCACATACGCAGTGAACGGCTGGTTTCATGTCATGGTCCAGGTGCTGTGCACGCCCTGGGGACACAGGAGGAGGGGATTCAGCCTTGTCCTCAAGGACCCTTTGCTCGAGTTACTATAGTCATTTTGTTCTGACTTCTGCCCCAGGAGAAAGTACCTTTTAAAAGATGAGGGAACTGAGGCCCGGAGCGTGATTATCCCAGGCATGTGGCAGAATCAGAATAGGACCCATGGCTGCCTGCTCTGTGCACCCGGAAGCTGCAGGGCCTGTGTGTGACACAGCTGTAGCAGTAAGAAAAAAAAAATCCTAGATAAAATGAGATAAAATGGAAGATTCCAAGAAGATAAGACCAGATAGAAGAAAGTGGTATAAAACTGTCAGAAAGGACACGTCTCCGAAAATAGTTCAGGAGAAGGCCAAGAGCCGAAGACTGAGAAGGACAAGCAATGGGGATAACACGGCCCAGAAGAAGTACCATCCCAGTCTCAGGACATGAAACCAAGTTAAAATCAAAATTCAAGACAGACCGACGCTGAGAAACTCAGGAACTCAGAGAGGCCTCTGGGAGCCTCCACCTCCTAGTGCTGGAGCCCCAGGAGCTCTGGCCTGGAAGTGCCTGGGCAGGGCGGGGGGTGCCCTCTCTGCAGGGCCACCTCCCAGCCGGCAGCCCCGAAAGGTCCTGTGTGTTACTTTGCTGTGTCCTCAGTGCTGAAAATAGAGCCCCCCAACCCACCCACCTGCCCCCCAACCCACACCAGGAACTTCGTGAATATTCATTGAATAAATGAATAAACAAATGAAGAAACTAATGGATCTTGGGCAAGTTTTATTTTATTTTTTAACCTCTCTGAGCCTTGGGTTTCTCATCCACAAAAAGATCGTTCTGTGAACGTCTCCGGTGTTTGCTGGGGATAAACGGGATGATGTGAACACGCAGACGGCCTGCAGTTTCCTTCCCCTTCCAACCCTTCAGGGCAGGTCTGGGGCAGAGGGTGAGCCCACCTCCCACCTGAAGATCCCAGAGCTCCAGGCTTCGCTGGCTGCATTCTGGGGGGCCGCCTGCTGCCCTGTCAGACCGTCAGCATCTCCCCTGCCTAGACCCTGCCATGGAAATGAGTCATGGAAGCCCAGTATTGGATGAGTGAATACGTGCTGCCTGGATCTCAGATTGCTTCACCTGAGTGGGACTTCACAGTCCCTGGAGGGGCCACCGAGGCTTCCTGGTGATGTGCCAAGTTTATTTGGGGCTGAAAGTGCTCAGGCCTAAAGTCTGAGTGAGACTTCCATCGACTCTGCAGGAGGACACTGGTTTGCTCTGCTTCTCAGTCATACACCGTACGCTGCAAGTAGGAAACTGGAATTATTTAAAAATGGAAGTGCTCGATGGCATGCATTCCTTCCTGTGTGGAGGTGGCATCTGCTGCCCTGCTGGGATTCCCTGCCCTACCAGGCAGTGGTCAGAAGCAGGGGGCAGCTCCTCCGGGCGTCAGTTACCCTTCCAGGAAAGAGCGGTTAGGAAGAATCTCCCCCAATCCCTCTGGTTGTGATATTTTAGAATTGCGTGAGTGTAGTGGAAGAGGCCGTACCCACAGCGGAACCCCCGTAGCCGTGACTTCAGTTACTCACGGTTATGCGTGGTCTGGAGGCAGATGCTTCTCCTGCCTGCGGTGAGGATGTCACTGCGGCCTAACGCTAGGTCGCAATACCTGCATCATCACCTCCCTTCATCTCATCGCAGGGGGGTTTATCATCTCGCATCATCACAAGAGGGGCGAGTGCAGCCCAGTAATGTTTTGGGGGCGAGAGATACCACACCCACATAACTTATTACAGCATATGGTTTTAATTGCTCTATTTTATTATTGTTGTTAATCTTAATATGTCTAATTTATAAATTAAACTTTATCATAGGTATGTGTGTCTAGGAATAAACAGCATATATAGGGTTTAGAACTGTCTGGTTTCAGGCATTCCTTGGGGGTCTTAGAATGTATGCCCCATGGATAAAGGGGGACGACTAAACTTCCTGCTTATGAATCCTCAGAGCAAGAGGTGGGCATAGTCAGAAATGCAGTTTTGGGGTCTGAAAAGTCCTTTCTAATCACACACACACACACACAAGCCCTGGGGACACAGGAGGAGGGGATTCAGCCTTGTCCTCAAGGACCCTTTGCTCGAGTTACTATAGTCATTTTGTTCTGACTTCTGCCCCAGGAGAAAGTACCTTTTAAAAGATGAGGGAACTGAGGCCCGGAGCGTGATTATCCCAGGCATGTGGCAGAATCAGAATAGGACCCATGGCTGCCTGCTCTGTGCACCCGGAAGCTGCAGGGCCTGTGTGTGACACAGCTGTAGCAGTAAGAAAAAAAAAATCCTAGATAAAATGAGATAAAATGGAAGATTCCAAGAAGATAAGACCAGATAGAAGAAAATGGTATAAAACTGTCAGAAAGGACACATCTCCGAAAATAGTTCAGGAGAAGGCCAAGAGCAGAAGACTGAGAAGGACAAGCAATGGGGATAACACGGCCCAGAAGAAGTACCATCCCAGTCTCAGGACATGAAACCAAGTTAAAATCAAAATTCAAGACAGACCGACGCTGAGAAACTCAGGAACTCAGAGAGGCCTCTGGGAGCCTCCACCTCCTAGTGCTGGAGCCCCAGGAGCTCTGGCCTGGAAGTGCCTGGGCAGGGCGGGGGGTGCCCTCTCTGCAGGGCCACCTCCCAGCCGGCAGCCCCGAAAGGTCCTGTGTGTTACTTTGCTGTGTCCTCAGTGCTGAAAATAGAGCCCCCCAACCCACCCACCTGCCCCCCAACCCACACCAGGAACTTCGTGAATATTCATTGAATAAATGAATAAACAAATGAAGAAACTAATGGATCTTGGGCAAGTTTTATTTTATTTTTTAACCTCTCTGAGCCTTGGGTTTCTCATCCACAAAAAGATCGTTCTGTGAACGTCTCCGGTGTTTGCTGGGGATAAACGGGATGATGTGAACACGCAGACGGCCTGCAGTTTCCTTCCCCTTCCGACCCTTCAGGGCAGGTCTGGGGCAGAGGGTGAGCCCACCTCCCACCTGAAGATCCCAGAGCTCCAGGCTTCGCTGGCTGCATTCTGGGGGGCCGCCTGCTGCCCTGTCAGACCATCAGCATCTCCCCTGCCTAGACCCTGCCATGGAAATGAGTCATGGAAGCCCAGTATTGGATGAGTGAATACGTGCTGCCTGGATCTCAGATTGCTTCACCTGAGTGGGACTTCACAGTCCCTGGAGGGGCCACCGAGGCTTCCTGGTGATGTGCCAAGTTTATTTGGGGCTGAAAGTGCTCAGGCCTAAAGTCTGAGTGAGACTTCCATCGACTCTGCAGGAGGACACTGGTTTGCTCTGCTTCTCAGTCATACACCGTACGCTGCAAGTAGGAAACTGGAATTATTTAAAAATGGAAGTGCTTGATGGCATGCATTCCTTCCTGTGTGGAGGTGGCATCTGCTGCCCTGCTGGGATTCCCTGCCCTACCAGGCAGTGGTCAGAAGCAGGGGGCAGCTCCTCCGGGCGTCAGTTACCCTTCCAGGAAAGAGCGGTTAGGAAGAATCTCCCCCAATCCCTCTGGTTGTGATATTTTAGAATTGCGTGAGTGTAGTGGAAGAGGCCGTACCCACAGCGGAACCCCCGTAGCCGTGACTTCAGTTACTCACGGTTATGCGTGGTCTGGAGGCAGATGCTTCTCCTGCCTGCGGTGAGGATGTCACTGCGGCCTAACGCTAGGTCGCAATACCTGCATCATCACCTCCCTTCATCTCATCGCAGGGGGGTTTATCATCTCGCATCATCACAAGAGGGGCGAGTGCAGCCCAGTAATGTTTTGGGGGCGAGAGATACCACACCCACATAACTTATTACAGCATATGGTTTTAATTGCTCTATTTTATTATTGTTGTTAATCTTAATATGTCTAATTTATAAATTAAACTTTATCATAGGTATGTGTGTCTAGGAATAAACAGCATATATAGGGTTTAGAACTGTCTGGTTTCAGGCATTCCTTGGGGGTCTTAGAATGTATGCCCCATGGATAAAGGGGGACGACTAAACTTCCTGCTTATGAATCCTCAGAGCAAGAGGTGGGCATAGTCAGAAATGCAGTTTTGGGGTCTGAAAAGTCCTTTCTAATCACACACACACACACACACAGACACACACACACACACACACACACACATGCCGCCGCCGCCACCACCACCACTCCCTCTCCCCCCCCCCCCCAAAAGGGAGGTCAAGAGAGAAAAGCCAAGAATATTCATTTCAAGTCCCTTACAGTGTATTGTACAAACATCATGCCCACCTTATAAAACCGTCGCTACATCCCACTTGGTGCTCCATGCTGTCTGGGCTCGTGTTTCTGGCTTCATGCCCTGGTCTGTCACATGTTGCTCAGGCCCTGACCTTTGTCCAGGAAGCACAGGGCTGAGGATTGACGTTTTGCAGTGAGATGAAGACAAGCCCCATTACACACTTCAAGCTCCTCTTTGCTTATATCTCAAGATATCAGAAAACACAGGGAAGGAGGGGCCGGAGGGAGCGAAGAGTATGGAAAACGTAATTGAATATGGCCTCTGGATGCAGCCTCATGCATCCAGCTCGGGGAACCCTGAAACTCACAGCCACCAGGAATATCCTGGAGCAGAGGCAGTCAAGGAACGGACAGGGCCAAGTGGTAGCTTCATAGCTGTCTCTTCTTTAAAGATTCACATTTTTAAAAAAATTCTATTTCCCCCCGGAAAAGAGAACCTGGCATGTTTTGACTTCCTCTCCAAGCCCGCACTCAGTCGCCTGTAGCCCTCATGGTCTGGGGATGCCTTGTGCCCCTAGGGCTGCTGCTCTAAGAGTTCTGGGGCTTGGATTGGGGGGTTTCTCCCTCGTGTGGACTGCAGTGCAGCTCAGGGGGAAATGCCTCAGTCCTGTCCGTGATAGAATCACGCGGGGTTACCTTGCTCCCTGGACTGGGTTCGGTACAGTAGCCCCCCACCACCCCACCAACTGCAGCCACTAGAAGTAACACTGTTCGAGCTCTCCCTGTGTGCCGGCCACGCTCCCAGAGCCTGTGCTAGCCAAGTGAATCCCACAGCAACATTGTGAGCTGAATGTGATTCCCATTGCACGGGTGAGAAAACTGAGGCACAGAGAGGTCAATCCCTTGCCTAAAGTCAGACTGCCGCTGAGAGGCGGAGTGAATGCCGGGCAGTCTGGCACAGGGCGCCCCACTACCCTGTGCCCCCTTTCAGCTGCAAGGTATTCTTCCTCTACCCCGGGGAAGAAGCGTTCCCGTGGTTGGACAGACAAATGGCTGTTGTGCGCTCACCCCTCATGTTTCCGTTTCCTGTGTCTTCTGAGCAGAGGGGAGTGTCAGAAGGCATCCGGATTAGACCCAAAGGGAGGCGAGTTTGCTGGGTCGGGCACATTAGAATGAGAGGGGCGCTCAGCAGTCCCAGCATAGCCCCGCTTTTCCTGGAGAGGCAGACAGGGGAGGGCGAACAGCTGCACCAGGCCAGGGCTGCTAAGCTTTGGGGTCAGCCCTCAACCCCAGTCCAGTCCAACCCCAACCCCGGAGGCTCCACCAGAAGGAAACTGCTAGTGCTTTTCTGGGCAATTAGGGAAGCGGGTGTGTGGATTTCCCACAAGCCTTTGGGAGGGAAGGGTCGTAGCTCCACAGACCTTGCCCCCGAGAGGGACTGACCTCCACAGTCAGGGGCCCACTGTAGCTCCAGGCGCTGTGAGTTCGGGATGTCCCATATGTCATCCTGTGTGCTAGACTCCAAAACCTGTTAATGAAAATGTTTGCTACTCTCTTTTTCTAGAACAGAACACAGCTGAAAGCTCTCTTCACCATAACAACAGAAGAAAATATACAGGTAAGAGAAAATATTTGACCTGGACCCCCTCCTTGTGCCCCCAGGGGGTCTTTGCGTGCCTCTGGTGTGTTGGTCTCTCGCTGACCTCAGAGCCAAGGGGAGGGGCCTTGGTGGCCTAGATATGCACTGAGGCTGGGGCCTCCGTGCAGCCTGGGGTCCCCAGTGTGGCCGGAGACTGGCTGGTTTCCCAGATGGCTTAGTCACTGGACAGGCTGAGGCCACCCACCCGTCTGTGCATTTCTTCAGCCACACTCACGCCTGCCTGCAGGGCTGGCTGCGGGAGCCAGCAGGTGGTCTTGTTTTACCTTCTTGGATCTTTCCAGAAAACTGCAGCCCATGGGCAGGTTTCCCTGCTTCTGCTGTTCACCATTACTATTATTCCTTTTTTGTCCATCTGTGAGTTTGATCACTCACAGCTCACATGTTCACTTGTTCATGTTTACTTACCACGTAACCACACTTCATGTTTCTTAAGCACCTGGTAGGTGCCAGGCATTCTAAGTAAATCACCCATGCTGAATCAGGTAACAACCTTCACTGTAATCTTGGGAGATGATGAAGTCTATTTTTAAATCACCCCCACTTTGTAGATAGGGAAACTGAGGCACAGCTGGGTCTAGTGATTTGCCCAAGAGAAAATGGCTAGTGTGTCGAGGTTTCCAGGACCACTCCCTGGTTCAGTGATTCACCGGGACCCCACATACTGTCATACTCAGGGCTGATTTGCTAGAGAGAGGGGTGCAAACCAGAACTCCCAGGGGAGAAGGCATGTGGGGCGAAGTCCAGAGGCCACCAGGCACAAGCTTCTGGAGGAGGCCTCTCCCGTGGAGTCACATGGGATGCCTTTAATTCCCACAGCGTCGAGTAACAACACTCCAAACTACTGTCTGCTGGGGAAGCTGGTTAGAGACCCAGTGCCGGGTTTTTCAGGGGTTCAGTCACATCAGCATCCTCTGCCTGGCATGCACCGAGAGCCCAGACTCCCGGAAGGAAGGCTGGTGTTCAGCCTAAAGCACAACCCTTGCACAATTTAGGCAGAGGGAGCCCTCCTGAAATCCAAGTGCAGAGACCTCTCAGAGGGCAGCAGTCTTGGGCCAGGTGTGTGAGCTCTTCTCTGCATGGCTGGTCGGTGTCAGGACCAGGACATGAACCCAGGCCCCTGGCTTGAAAGGCTTGCTCAGGGCTGTGGGCCACACTGTCTCTGAGTCCAGCTGCACCAAGCTGACAGCCGGGTCAGAAACACAGGGGCAAACAATTCTTTTGGCTACTCTGTGAGCTCCTGGAGGGTGGTGCCCTGTGTGCCCTGCCCCTGAGCCCCCACTGGGCCTTGCATTGTGCGTTGTGGATGGCACTCAGTGGGCAAATATCCCTCCATTGAGCTGATTGTTATCAATGCTAGCGATTGCTGCTCAGTGGAGGAGGTGTCTGGTTGCCATGTGATTGTAAAAACTCAGAGAATGTTCCTTTAATTCATATTCATGAGCCCTCCCGCCATGGCCCAGGCCCTCTCTTGTGGATGGAGATGACCTACCCAGGTTTTCGGGGCTGCCTCTGGTCCCCACACTGCCTTCAGGAGAAACAGGAATAGGTGCCCACTCTGGGCTGCAGACCCATGAGTGCAAGGCTCGACAGTGGGTTGGACGTCAGCCCTAGCAACCCCTGGTCCAGGTGTGCGAGCTGTGGACCACGTTCGAGGAGGTCACCATGAGTGGGGAGAGGGGCACACGAACGTGATGGCCCTGCAGTGTGGGGACAGCAGGGCCTTGGACCAGAGACCTGGCTTTAAATCCCTGTCCCTCTACTGATTGTATGTGACCTTGGGCACATTGCTTGCCTCCCTGGACCTCAGTTTCCTCGCTGTGAAATGAGAATCAGTGATGATACTGCATAGGGTGGTCGTCAGAGTCAGTGGGTCAGTGCATCTAAAGCAGTCAGCATTGGTGCCTAGCATCCACTGAGGCTGCCGTCTGGATGACTCCGCACACGTGCAGACCACACCACTCTACGTGTTCTGTGAATGAATGTTTTGTATCAGGATCTCAAGCTCAGATGCCCACGGAGCCCATACAGGGGCTAGCAGTGTGTGTGTCAGGCCCAGCACCAGAATCTAGGGGGTAGTGGAGTCTGGCATAGCCTGGAGACTCATCACCCATCAGCCACTGTCCCCCTACCCACACTGAGATGTGAAATGAAAAACAAAAGGTCAAATAATGTACAACTGCTGTGACTGCATTTGTGACGTTGTGACCCAAGATAAAGGTCATAGACTCTGTGGATACTGACAGGAAAGAGACCTGGGAGGATGCCAGGCTTTTTGGAGGAGGTAGGAATTCAGCTGGACCTTAAAGGAAGGATTTAGTTAAAGGTGGAAGGAAAGTATTCTAAAATATGTAGCTGAAGATTTGACATCAAGGTTAAGGCAGCTTGACTGTCGGGTGGATGCGATGGAGGTTTGCTGGGTGCAGGCACAGTGCCTGGCACCTTTGAGATGCACCTAAGGATGAGACAAGGCCCAGAACAACTGTAGTGTGTGTTTGGCGGGGCCGACCTGGGCATCTGCAGAGACAACTTCATTAAACTAGGAGAGTGTGCTGGTGATGAATAGGGGGAGCTCTGCAGTGAGGGCAGAGGCACTGCTGATGTTGTCCTTGTGCACTTAAAAAATACAAAGAACCTGAGTCATCCATTGTGTAAGTTGGAATTCTGAAACCCTCCTTCATTTCTTGTTACTTTCCTGAGGGCAAAACTGACATATGTTAGCCAAAGAGAGGGACCCCAAGACATTGCTTCCTGTTTTGTCTCAGGAAGTCCTTTTGGGCTTTCTGTCTCCTAAGTGAACAGTGCATCTCTGAGAGGAAAAAAATTGCACTGCCCTGTGCTGGACATTGAGCCAGTGTTGAGATGCGCTAGATGTCACTGCAGCTTCGTGAGTTAATCACATGCACCCAGGACAGGGTCGGTCACTGTGCCAGGCAACGGGAGAACAAGGACCTCAGATCTAATGACGAGAGGCATTTAGGTCGATTGTTCTGTTGCCCACGTTCGTCTAGAGGGCAGTTCCAATAATGACTCTAGTGGGATTGGGGGCAGTGGAGGAATGTGGTCAAATCAATCTGAATTCCACCTGAAGATACTGAAGATATAAATTTATGAAACTAGATAAAAGCATTTTGAAAATGAAAAGTAATATGGTAGAATTTGTCCTAGCAGATACAAAAAATCATAAAGCTACATGAATGCACTGTGCAACTACTGCAAGAAAAGTCAGACCCGTGGGGCAAATTAGAATATCCACACATACGTGTGCCTAACGGTATTTCAAGTCAATGGGAAAAGAATGTACCACTCATAAATTTGGGGGCAACTGGCTGGACCTTTGGGAAGAAAAATAAAGATGAATTCCCCCATCAGAGGAAAATCTAAATGCTAAAAACAACTTGTAAAAAGCAAATATAGATTGATATTATGTTACAAAAAAACCATGAAGAAAACTATGGTTTTGAGTACAAAAGAACTGAAATATTACATTTAAAAATAGTATTAAGAAGGCTAAGTGACAAACTTGGGGAAAAACTTGTAACAAACATACACAAAAAAGATGAATGTCTATAATACATAAAGAGCCCCTATTAATCAGGAGAAGAATGCCTCAGTAGATAGTTGTATACAGCATGAGAATCTTTCAGACACAAGGATTTCCAATGTGTGCACAGTGGAGGGAGCGTGTATCTGTGTTGGCAAAATCCCGTGGCTTTGAGTTGCACTCAGAGGACTAGAGGTTTGCAATCCATACTATCATGTCTGTCTTCTCTGTGTCACCTCTTGTTTGAATTACCGCCTCCTGCCTGTCCAGTCCTACTCCCCTCCAGCCCGTTGTCCTCACTGAAGTGATCTTAAGACACAAACCTGCTCACTTTCTGTTCTGGAGGGCTCCTTGTTGCCTGCTGGGTTAAGATCAATTCCCTCAAGTCGGTTAGTATTCAGGATCCATGAAGGAAGTTGGCCTCTTCTCTCTCCCAGTACTGCTCAGTCCCTGTGTTCTCAGCATTGCTCTGCTACTGTGACATTGAGATTATTCCTCTGGTTGGCACTTAGTACATTTCTGTTGACATCAGAAATGACTTTTTGTCCTGGAGGAGACTAAAGATTATCCAGTTTCTCTTCCTCCTTTGAGAGTAAAAAGCACCTGTCTGTAGACCCTGAGAACTGGCCGAGGTCCTGAAGCTTCAGGGACAGAATCATGCTGTGCAAATGTTTTTTGAATCCACGTATTCACTAGACTGGTGCCTTAGCAAAGCTCTGTCAGTAAGTGTGATTGTCTCTACCTGTGATTGCTTTCAAGCTCTCACTCCTGCCTGAATTAGCCTGGAAGCCAAGAGTTTCTTTGCCCTCAGTTGCCTCTCAAGGGCTGTGGGACAGGGGTCGGTAAGTCACTGACCTCCTCTGTTCCTTGGATCTTTAGCTCAAAGTGCCTCCAGTTTTCTTCAAACTTTTTCTGTTTTTTAGGGGGTGAGTGGGATTAATACATGTCTATTGTGGACATTTTGATGAAACACCCCTCTACAAACACACACACACAGAGCAAGAAAGTTTGAAGAATAAAATAACATTACCTTAGGATCCCACCACCAGAGAGAACCATTACTAGCATCTTAGCTTCTTGTCTTCTGCAAGTCTGTGGATATATTTATTACATAATTGAAGTCAAACTATATAAACAATTCTTCCTCATGCTTTTGTAACTCAGTGTTGTATTTGAAGCATGAAAGCATTCCTCTTGAAAAGCCTTTGTGTTTAGCACTGCTTTTCCTAAATGCAGTGATGAGACTCATCAGAGGAGTCTGCGACCAGCCAACATGGGATTAAAGGGGTAGTAATAACCTAAGATTCTTCTCCAGATTTAAGAAAGAAAGTGGGAGCGTTGGGGATAGGGAAGCTGGGATCGCCGAGCCACTTGTTATTCTTTGTCCTTAGATAACGAAGTTTCAGTAAATAGGCTC